TAGTAGTCGTGTTATAGCAGTAGTAGAAGTAGTTGTCGTTTAACTATTGCGTCAGTTACTTTTGTAGTAGTTGTTAGATTGATACCTAATAATAGGAATAGTAGTAATTGTCTTTGATTAGTAATGTTAGTAGTCATAAAAATTGTAGCTACTGTAGTGTTAGTAACAGTAGATGTAGTCACGTAGGTAGCAATGCTTATTATTGTAGTAAATCTTAGTAAAAATAGAGACGCACCCGACTACTCGGGTTGGCCGAATTATCGGCCAAAACTCGACATTCGGTTTCAGCTTCGAAAATTTTCAATGCCGAATAGCCAAACGGTGCAAAATCCGTTTAGGCTTTTAATTTTTTGGGATTCCATTAGAGTAATGGTTGATAGTTTTTAGCGGAAAATTTATTTTGACCATCATAGCGGTTAAGTCATCCAAATTTGAACAGGAGATAAAATTTGATCTCGATTCAGAATTGTTGGATAGATGTGAATCGCCTACAGTCATTTTCTCAATAACTTGTTTATAATTCTAAAGATTGGAATTTTTCCAAAATTTGAGGTTTTTCGGCTGTTCGACCTGCTTTTGCTTCTTCAAGTTTGCTTAAATGAGTTGATCGTGAATTTCTGAATTAATATTAGTAATAATAACATTGGATATTTTACTAAATAAACGGATATTTTATCACAAACATCATTAAAAACAAGTAGCAGTAACATAATTACAGGAAACATTTCACGAGAGTTTTTCAGTAATATTTTATTATATTCAAAGTAGTAAAAAATAGTAGCAGAAGTAGCAATTGAAATATCGGTTAGTATTTTACCACCAATTGCGTAAACAAAGTCCAATAATCCATAAACTTTGCGTAAACAAAGTCCAATAAACCATAGTAGCCCAAGCAGCGTGAAAAATTATTAACAGTAACAATTACATAACAAAAATAAGTATTCTGAGTATTCTAGTCGCTATCGATGCTGGTTGACTGTGATAGTAATAGTAGCGGTAATTTTAGCCGTAGTAGGAGTAAGTAGCAGTCGTGGTGGTAGTGTTGGTGGTGATAGTAGCGTCAGTAGCATATGTCAAATCGAAAGTAGTAGTAGTAGTTGCGTCGACCGGCAAAATGCAGGGATCAAAAGAATCAATTCATCTACTAAACACACAAACTTGCCGCACACACACAAAAACACACACGCGCGCGCACACGCGTCGTCACATTCGCACAAATTTAAATTTTTACACGTACACCCACGTACACCCAAATAAACATGCATATATACAGATATACCAACAAATACCTTAAAAAATATACTTGTATTATGTATATATTGTGTATCGTATGTGTGCACGCGTGTATGTGTGAATGTGTGTATACAGGTCCTTAATTATACTGTTGTATGTATTTTAATATATATTTGTTGTGTTTGTATTTGCATTACGGTTTCTTATTTTTTTTAAATTGTTAGTCAGTTTGTTGTAAGAAGGTTGCGTGTTAGGGAACGTTTATACCTGTGCGTGAATGCATGTGTGTGTGTGTGTGTGTGTGTGTGTGTGCATGTGTATGTGTGTGTATGTGCTTGCGTGCGTGCGTGTGTTTCAAAATTTATGCGTGTGTGTGTAAATTGAATTAAACAAATAGCCTTACTTTTGGTGTCTTTTGAAAACTATATAAAGGAGGAGAACCTTCTGGAAACGTCGAAGGAGTAGGAAGCAGTAGAATAATTAATTAGAATTGAAAATAAATTTTTCCAGTTTTATAATTTTTAGTGTGGTTAATGTTAAAGACGACGATGATTCAATTTCTTCTGCGCAAGGAATTATTTCACAACGGCGTCGACAAAAAACACTGCAGCAATAACAACAACATTAACAATACTGGTAACATTAACGTCGTTGAGGTTGGCGTCGTAGAAAGCAACAACAACAGCAACAACAATAACAGCAACAACCTCCGAACCAACACCAACATCGATCACAGTGATTCCAATTCCAACTTTCTAACAACAAATTTAGACGTTGAAATGATTTCTAAGCAGAAACTAAACATTAATGATGAGATTTGTAATAAATTGAAATTCAAAGACAGCAGTCATACTCAAAACGAGATCCCTAGCTACATCGACAGCAATAATATTCACGAAAACAACAAGGTCAACAGCATCAATGACATTATCGACAACATTAACGACAAAAACAACTGTAACAATATCGACATGTACAATAGTAACAAATCTTTCGATCTTGTTTGTTTGAAAAATGATCATCTAAAAACTAATTTCCACATTAATTATTTAAATAATAACTTGTATATGAATTTGAATAATTTATATCATCCTAGCCACCATTATTATCATCATTATCAATTAAACTCCCATTTACCTTATTTGATTCATTATCATCTTCATCGTCTTCATCACCGCCCTCGTAACATCTATGAATATTATTCTAATCTCATGTGGTCTGCTTACGTTTCAAAGAGACTTGCAACAAACAATCATGACAACTTCCAGCAACTATCATCTTCTCAACAAGTTTTCCATGTTTACCAGCAAAGTCAGCCACAACAACAACAACAGCCAATCAACTTAAGCACATCAACTGAGACTGTATTAACTAACAAGAAACAGCATCATAAAAATCAGCGTCGTCATCATCAGCAGCAGCAGCAGCCGCACCATCAGCAGCAGCAACAGCAACACGAAGCAGCTATTAACAAATGCAGTGAATGTTCATACACCACATCCACCAGCAACGAGCTTCAACTGCACATACGACGCGTGCACAACAAACACGCCTGCCTAATTTGCTGGAGATTGTTCGGACAGAAAGCCAACAGGGACCGCCATCTTTGTTTGCACACCGGCCACAAACCTTACAAGTGTGACATCTGTGGAGAAAAGTTTTCCAGGGGTGATAAGTTGAAGATACACAAGAAAAGATTTCATCTTGATACTGTCTGAACACAATCTTTTATTTGCTAAACCATTTTTCCAGTTTTGTTGTTGCTAACGTTCGTGCTTTATATTATGTGATTAGTAGTTTTCAAAATTTTTTGAATATTTCAAAAATGTTTTGTTAAATTTGAAATTAATGGCTTTTCAAATTTGATAGCGTTGCTTTTTGAGTTAAAGTTTATTACGCGCCTCAACATCGTAACAGTCAAATCAAAACACAAGTTAACTTTTAGCGTTTGAAAAATTTTTAGACTTTATCAAAGTTGCAAATCGGCAGTGACTGTTCGTGCAGCAAGACAAACTTCTTGTGCGGTTAATTAATATTCAGTAAAATCGAAGCATTTCACCTTATTATTCGCTGTGGGTTTTCATTACGCTAGTTAGTGTTAAAAGTGTAATGAGCAGTTTGGAGAAAGTGCCCGTTGTTGAAATTGACAGAGATGGCGTCTTCAAGTACATCCTCGTTGAAGCTTCCTCTGGGGGACAAAAAAAACTATTAGTTAGAGGCGATCAGGAATCTCCTTATCATGGTTTGTAATTGAATGGTTGTTGAATGTTAGAACTGTTGGATGACCTATCTATATTATATTCCCAAACTTTAGAATTTATAATTTATATTCATTTCATTTCTATGGTGTTTTGTTCAACAATTTCATTTTGAATACAAATACATCGGAACATAATACGAACACTCTCTGTATTCTATATAAGATATAAAATAATAAATATATAATTTATATAAATTGTGTAGTTATTACTATTATTATTATTATTATTATTATCAAAAAGGCCTGGGCAGAGCCCTTTGCCCCAACTAAAAACAATGACAAAATAAAAGAACGTTTTCAAAAATAAAGGATGTGAAACAATTAAAGTCGTATAAATTATTGTTCAATGTCTACACCAAACGACCAAACACGAAATTAAAATTTAAGCAATTATTTAATACTTAATCAAGCTGACACAAATTTTTTATCACCGTAAAAGTCATCTAGTTTAATTTTAAATGTCTTCATAGATGGAGCATCTACAACGTCAACGGGCAGTGCATTCCAAGGATTCACGACTCGATTAGAAAAAAAATATTTTCTGCAATCTTTCCTTGCAAGACGAGTCTGTAAACTGAGATGATGACCTCTGGTGCCATTGTCCGCACGACGATCTTACAATGGGGAAATTGAAGGATCCACATAATTATGGAGAATTTGATAAGTTAAAATTAAGTCGCCCCTGATTCGTCTATATTCCAAAGATGGCAGATCTAATTTTATCAATCTAGATTTATAATCTAAACCTTTACATGACTTTGGAATTCTGGTAGCTCTTCTTTGGACCTTTTCCAATTCACCAGATAAACCTTTTCTATATGGGCACCAGACTTGCACAGCATATTCCAAACGTGATCTGACCAAAGATTTATAGAGACAAACGAACGCATCATCCGACAGGTCCTTGAAATTTCTGAATAAAATTCCCAACATACGGTTTGATTTTTTTATCTGCGTCATAACATGCTCTTTAAAAGTAAGTTGACTATCTACGATCACGCCTAGATCATGCATACTCTTTACTCTTGGTAAGATATGAGCAACATCATTCGAATCAACAATTTCATAGTTCATTGGAAAACATTTACCAATTGACAACAAGCTACATTTACTAACGTTGACTTTAAGACTCCATTTCCGAAACCATAACATAATATTGTTTAAGGAACTTTGCAACACTGCACCATAATTATAGTAATAATGGCATTATTATCAGTAACTGTAATTTATCTTCCAATGCTAATCTAATATTTTTAAATTGAAATGTATCTCTATCCCTTGTTTTTTACAAACTAATTTTGTAACTAATTTAATTTTCTACCACACAATCAATCATAGCTGATGTACTCGAGAAGTTAGAAGATAAATTAAAAAAAGAAAATTTAAGGATGGAGCTAAGGTGTACAGGTGGAGGAAGAATTGACCACGACAGTAAGAACAAGCACATTAAAGTTTATGGATATTCTGTTGTAAGTTTATTCAAGTACTTCTCATTCATTTTTTTTTGTTTTGAAAAATTGACTAATCCTAATTAACTTGTTTTCAATATAAATATTAACATTCGACGAAGTAATAATTATCAAATGATTTTTAATTTTAATGATTTGTAGGGTTTTGGAAAAGCAGATCACAAGGTGACATGCAATTTATTAAAAGAGCAATATAAAGATTATAAAATAGATTTCTCAAATGATGGCTACTGAATGGAACGAATAAATAATTAAAAATATAATAAATTCCAATTTGTATTTGAAAAAATAATTTTGAAATGAATGTTGAATAAATAGAAATACAAAATCTACAAATATCTTAATTGGAATTTTATGAAAACTCATACAAAAATTGTATGTATGTATGATCTGCTCATGTTTAAATGAAAAAAAAAGCGAACTGTCTTTCTCAGAATCAAAATATATATATGGTTTAGTGTGTGTATATAAGGATAAATATGTATCATATATGTATATATATTATATATATATATATGTATGTACAAACAGATTAAATTTCGAATATTTTGAATAAAATTAAATTAAAATTTCTTTATTGTCCAGTATTTGAATGTGCATGCATACACACACACAAACACACACTCATATATATTTGTGTGTGTGTGTAACTTGTGTAAATAATCATGATTAAAAAATGTCTATATGTATATATGTGTCACATATGAACACGGAATAACAGATTTAGTAAAATAATTATGTCCTTATAAAAATATTATAGAAATAAGGTGAGATTTTTGTAATTACGGTCTATCTCCGTCTGAAACCTTTCTGATTACTGGCAAGTAATTAAGTCCAATCATGATTGCTGCTACAATAAGTTTCTAAAATTATACCCCACAGTAAATATATTCAATTCAAATTGTGGAGAAACTAATTCATGTATGTGTATAAGCAAGTTGGCATTTCAATCAGTGTTGTTAATGTAAAAATTATGTTTATGTATAAATATACAATAAATATATAATGTTGATGTACTTCAAAAATTATTAATTAACTACTGCCAACAACAAAAATAACTAAATATTAAACAAACATAAAGCAAAATATTTAAACGAACAATGTAAGAATATGAAACGCACAAAGAATACATAATGTAAACATCCATGCATAGAGAGAGACCAAATCATTGGTTATTTAAAAATATGAATATTTAGATATCATTATTTGGTTAAAAAGCAGTGGCAAATATTTCATCAATCACTAACCCTAACCATAGAATATCAATAAGTTGAACGTATTTTTTGTGATAAAAAAATGTAAAGAATTCATCAGTTCACCATGTTCCGTCATTTAGAGGACCACCAATCAATCAATTGATCAATCAGTTACTGTGATAAATCAATCAATCCCTCTTCTTACTGAGCTGTAGTTGGAATCCTCTTTGGGTGTTTGACCCTGTTAACGAGGAGGACACAGTTGCTCAGTCGACCGCCTCTCTTCAGTGGCTCTGTCACGTGGATGGCAACTCTTGGGTAGTCTATCTTGTTCGTGTATACCTGTTCAACATTCAAAAATTGTTGTCATTGATGTCAGGAACGTTTTTGTTTGCAAGATTAAGATTTCTTAATAGAATTGTTTAAAAAATTGTAAACAAAAATAATAAAAGTGAGTGAAGCACCATAGATCCATTTGGAATTTGTTCACTGGAAAGGTGGATGAGGACGTTGTTGGCATAGATAACATTGGCTGCTTCATCCTCTTCCACTGTGATGTACTTATAACCAAGTGCTCCTGAGTTCTTTATTTCCTTTTTAGTAAATTATTTTAAAAAATTAAGTACCAAAAAAAACGTAATTCACCGACTAGTAATACTTTATTAAGAGCATTAAGCCAAGTAAAAAACAAACCTGGAAAGTTGCTTGAGCTGCCTTACTGTTGCCAACAGTCATGACTTCAGGACCAGCCATGCTGATGTAATCCTTCAGATGAATGGCAGGTGGGTACACCTTCACAATATTTGTTGGATACTCCGGGAATGCTCGGCCCACAGCCTGGGCACCCAGCATGTTAGTTCGAGTTGATAGACCAACAAAAATTTCTCTCCCTGGTTTAAAATTTAAAAACTTATAATATATAAATAATAAAATGTAAAAACAAATAGTAAAAATTAATTTTTGTAAGGTAGATTGAGCAGAAACCTGTGAAAAGAACATCTCCACCCTCTACTAAGGCCTTTTCTGTGTCAATTTCAACAATCTTCATGCCTATTTCTTTGCGAAGTACTTGTCTGACAACAGCTAACTTTAGAGTTTAGATACAAAAATCATGAAAAAATGTTTCTATGATCAAAGTTATATTATATTCAACCCAAAAATATAATTTAAAATATAAATAAAATAACTGACTTCTCCTTGTCTGGAAGGTCTGTTGGGGAGTGTAGGTGGGTTGCAGATGAGAGCAGTACCATTGATGACAACCGCAATATCATCGACAAACAATCCATCAGGTTGCCTCTCATCATTAGGCAGTTCAATGACGTCAACACCAAGCCTTCTGAGAGCATCGACTAACTCTTCGTGCTCCCTCCTCGCCCGTTCAATGTCGATGGCGAACTTCGGGTTTATCAAATCGTAGGAAGAAGTTTCAGCGAAAGAATTTGCCACACGAGAAACGAGGGCAAAGTTGTACTTGAAACAAGTATTTTCGTTATTCATCGTCTGGAAAATTACTTTTTAACTTTTCTAACAGTTCCTGATGAAAATCGCAACTACTTTCAAATAGGAAATAATAAAATTTCAGTTTATGAGAAATTAAGGCTCAAGCCCTCGAAGCAGGAAACTTTAATTTGGACCGGTGTTTGGGTATGACTAATTCACGTAGGTGATAGGATGGTGAACAATTCGTCTATTATTAATTTATATTTTGATGATTTTGATAACGTTTTTGGACAAACTTTAAATTCTTTTCCTAATAATCTTCACAGTTTAACAACAAATAACAGTCTACACTACAGTAATTCAAACATTCAGACATTCAGATTTTTTTGGAACAAAACCGGATGCATGATTATTGAACTCATTAAATACTTATACTAACATGTATAGTACAAGTTATATATATATATATATATATTTATATATATATTTATATATATATATATCATACAATCAATAAGTATATCACATCTTCATTGATTAATGTCTGTATATATCAAAATGTAAATATGTTAATATTCAATTAACACGAAAAGTGAATGTTATATGTACCACAAATATGTATCACGTTTATGCTTACGTTGTATGAAGAATGAACATGAGGTCTATCGGATTCACATTCACATTAGCTAGATGGTAGTATATTTCGTTAATCATCTCGTTGGGTTCTCGTAGCTCGTAATTTTAATCATCCGTTTGTTTATAATTATTGTGGTGGCTGTTTTAAACAATCAAGAAGTACATTTTTACACAAAAATAAGTTCTAATGTAATACATGAGATATAACCAATTAAAAGAAAGCTCCAGTTAAATAAGATAAATATAATTTTGTATGACGTTTGTCAGAAAAAAAATTTAAAAAAATGGTCAGAAAAAATCAGTTGATCATTCACAAGTAACTATTCATCATGAGGTTGGGGTTGATGTTATATTTATTGCAAGCATAGTCCACGTGCACGAAGGCCCTTTCAACTTCTGGTAACCTCTCCAAGCGTTTTTTCAAATTCTCGCCAATGTCATGTGACTCTTTGAGGCCCATGTTTGACGGAAGTATGATGTCAGCCTCAACTATGAAACCCTCAGCCGATTGGTGAAATGCTCTGATGTCATCAATGTACCTAGAAATAATTCATTCATCCTTTAATTCATTCAGTCATTTATCCATTTAATTATAAATAATTTACTGATTCTTAATCAAGGACAGATCCAGACAACTTTGACAGAGGAAGCCAAAATTTGACGGTGGGCCAAAAACTAGGAAATTTTTGTGATGTGACGTTAATTAGCTCTTTTTTGCATCATCGTTTGCCAAGTTTCTTATTTAAAGCGGTGTTTTCGTGTGTAAAAACGGTGTTCTCGTGTATATATAACAAGTAATTAAACAATATATGTTGGCGAAATTTTCAAAAATTACACCAAAATTGATGACTATTTATGGCGGACCATAAACCCTGCTTTAATCCGCTTCTGGATTCACTAAACTGTGACACAATTTTATAAAACTATTTCTATAAGTAATAGTTGTAGTGACATAACTGTTTCACAAATATTTTTAGAAATGTTCTGATCATGAAGTATCATATTTCAATTAAAAATAATATAACATCATCGTTATCGTGATAATAATGACAAATGTAATAATACATGATAGTGAGACAATGACAACGTTTACATTAAAATGATACATGATAGTAAGATGGAGACAACGTACTTGATGTCTGGGTGGTGTCTGACGATGAACCAGGTGAACGCGTTTAGAAGGGTGGGGTCAGCCGTGTAACCCGTGATCACTTTGATCTGCTCTGTGTAATTTAGAGTGTGATAATGACGTCGTATAAATCGAAATAGGAAAAATGATGATGACAAAAAGTGTAAATGCTAAAATAATTAAAATAAAAAATAATACGGTATCTAAAATTACATATTTCTTGAAAGGTTTGCCGGTTTCACGTTTGATCAAATGTAAACTATTAAATAATGAAAAAATGTAAAAAAAAATGCACCCATAGCCGTCAGTGACCACGTAATGATGACGTAGAGTGAAATCAAAATGGCGCCTGTTGGGTCTATGTACTTGAGCAACTTGTAACCTAGGTGACGGTTAAATAATTGCATTATTATTATTATTAAATGAAAATTTATAAATCGCTTTTTAATAAAATCTCAAAAGCGCCTACAATAAGTGCAAGAAAAAATAAATAAGACAAAAGAAAGAAAGTTGATTGTCACTCAGTTAAATGTCAGAACACACATATATTAACACAAAATCAATAAATAAATAGATGACCAAAAAGAAGTAATACTAATTCAAATGACGATTTTTAGGATTTATCCACACAAGTTACTAGTTATGTACAAAAATTCAACGCAATAATCAACAAGCCTCACAACGAATTATTAACCGACACAAGAATTAAAACAACATGATGATAGTACCGTACCGTCTAATAAAGAACATAAAAAATAAAAAAAAAGAAATAAAAACAAAAAATTTCATTTTCATAATCACATTTAATTACAAGAACCGAAATGCTGCTTAAAAAGCAGCAACTTTAATTGTTTACAAAATAGAGGAAATGATATTCCAGGTAGACGGAGTGAGGTTGGCAAATTATTCCACACCATCGGTCCAGCAACAGCAAAATATCTTTTACCAGTCACCAAACTGGTTTGAGGAACGTCCAGCAAATTCCTATTATTGGATCTCAATCCTGGATAACCAGACGTTGAATCACGTTTAGTCAATCTACCGACCAAGTACGGAGGAGCACGCCCATTTAAAACTTTGAACATCAAAACAGCAATCTTGTAGAAAATTAATTCTCTTTTCAATCGGAAGCCAGTGCAGATCCCGTAAAATTGTAAAATCATTATTTATATGTTACAACAATTATACCATATTATCAGTAAATTACAATGATATACATACGCTTGTGTCGGTCTGTCTGTGTGTGTATGTGTGTGTGTGTGTGTGAGAGAGAGAGAAAGTTAAAATGGCATAAGGTACAACAGTGGGTGGTCATCTGTTGCAGTGACCGAGTTCAATATCAAAAAGGACCTTGACCTGTCGTAGGTAAAAAAATGTTTAAGTGTTTTGTCTCATAGGCATTCGTGTAAGTAACTGTGTGTGTGTCGGAGGTGTTATTTTCATCAAAGAATCACTGAGAAATGATATAATAAACAAGACAATATTAAATAAATAAATATTGTCTATATATATATATATATAATTTACAGAAATGTACATTATACAGAAATAATTAAAAACAACGTCCAGTCCTACAGTGTACAAAACAATGTACCCATGAAACCAAAAGAGAGCGCTACAGTATTTGAGATGACGTCATTTCTGTGGTCCTGCGCAAGAGCCTGTATCGTCACATTAGACATTCGTCTGCAGACGACGTACATCACGAACTTTATGACTGAGTGCGACGATGACGATGGTAAATATTATAACAATAATTATAATTAAAATAATTATTATTACTATTTGTAGTTGTAGTTGTAGTGTTTTAATGATTGTGGTGCTGATGAAGACGACGATGAAAGTTTCTACTAAACTTGTAATGCAACGTGGTGAAAATGATCTGATGACGTCAGTGACGGTGCGATAAAAATGATGCTACCGATTACAAGATGATACAAAAGATAACAAGATACCGATTACAAGATGATAAAAGGTGTTCGCAGAGTGGTCGAGTTGAGACCATGGATGTATTGTATATATATCCGTGGTTGAGAAGCAAGAGAAAGCGAGAATAAAAATAACGACGACAATTGTGGAAAGACACAAAGAATACTAATAAGTGGATAGATAAATTAATAGAATGGCAAGATAATGTGTGGAATCTGGAAGTGAATCTGGAAGTTGATCAGGGTTACATCAAACAATTGTAAGTGTATTAGAAATTGTAATGAGAAACGAAGAATAATTATAATTATTTTAAATAAATTTCAAGTGATAATAATTATGTGTAATATTATCTCTTTAAATAACATTAATAACATTGATTGTTAAACAGAATTACTGACCAATCGTGAGCAAGCAGATGAGAATTGTGGGCAGCTCCATCAGAGGGCCACTTGCTCCGTCCATGCAGGGTTCGTAGAGGGCCGATAAGTTTTGAAACGTTCCGCACCTCGTTATGTTGTTGTTTGAAATTTCATCTTTCTTATTGATTGATTCGAATAAAAAGTTTATTTTATTTTTCAAATCAAAAATGTTTTTTTATAAGATCGCATCAAAATAGTAAACTTTTAAATTGAAAAAAGTTTCCAACCAATCATGTAATACGAACCAAACTACAGTGCAGATCATAATTGACATAGGTGAGGATGGTTTTTATAGAGTTGACGACCACCTGACAACTGGCCAAACTCATGATGACCGCCAGGACCACAATGGAAACCGGTTCTAATCGACCGCGGCCTCTCGGATAAACACTTATGTCGGTTTTCTTGATGGCTCGACTGCTGATCCACAACAAAATCCCGGAAACTAAATCCACTGCTGAGTCCAAAACAGACGAAATAACCGCTAATGATCCGGATAACACGGCTGCTAATGTTTTGGCGACCAAGAGAGACTGGATAGATGGATGGATGGATGGATGGATGGATGGATGGATGGATGGATGGATGGATGGATGGATGGATGGATGGATGGATGGTGTATGGATGGATGGATGGACGGATGGATGGACGGATGGATGGACGGACGGATGGATGAATGGATGGGTGAACGGGTGGGTGGATGGATGAATGGATCGATAGATGGGTGAACGGGATGGACGGGCAGAGCGTTGGATGAATTAATAAATGGATTGATGCACAAATGTGTAGATGGATAAACGATACGATAAATCAATTCAATCTATAATTAACAACATGAATGATTGATAGATACTTTATAATAATTGAATATATTTTAAGTTAAAGAGCAGAGAGATTATATATTCACGTTTATCTAAAATCAGCTTAATTAACTAAATTTAAATTTAGATGTTTAACTAACAAAATTGATTGCAAAGGTTATTTGTGCGACAAGTTGTGGTGAAGGGTGGCAACTACATTTCCGGTGGCTACCATCGTTACTTCCGCTACCATCTGCATCAACCACATCGCTACTCTGTGATTCAAATTCTTTCAAACAGACGACTAAGTCAGTTTGTTTTTTATAGTATCGCCTGCAAACATCAGTTCAATAAGTTAGAATGTTCAAAGATGGACATTTTTATAAGTGCCTTTAGGCTGAAAATTTAAATTACTCCTTCGAAACATCCACCAGCCTCTAATCTAACTGAGTAGTTAAATGAGTTGGAAGATAATTTCAAAGTAGTTATCGTAAGTTAAGTTATGTCTCATGTTCAACAACTGTAATAATAATTGAAACTATTGACTACCTTATCTTACTGGATACTTTCTTCATCGTGCCAACCCCAGCAACCTCGTTCAGTGAAGTCACCATTTTGTCCAACGTGACATCATCCTTCACTAGGCAATTCGTTGACGTGTCTGATTGGTTGCTAGTGGAGGTCATTTCCATTTCGTCACGTAGTGAAGGAATCTCCATGGCAAATATTTGATTTGGAGTAAAAAAAATAATTAACTGAATGTAAAACAGAATTAAACAGCCGAAGCGTTGAACCAAATAAAAATGAGATGTTTAAAATTATTAAACTGGTGAGACGATAAAAATCTGTGAGTTGCGTTCCTTTCAATTATATAAGCGTGTACTACTTCAACATTGTTCAATTTCTGGAAGGAAGGCTCACTGTGTTTTTTAATTCCGTAGTTACCAAACAATGTCCGAATTTGAAATTTTCTCTGTTTTGCATATTAACTATATATATATATATATATACATATATACATATATATATGTATATATATATATGTATGTGATTACATGTATAAATAATTATATATATACTATAACGTACTGTAAAATATTAACTGAAACGAAGCTCATTTAAAATCAGGTATGAACGTAGATTTGTAACGTTGGTAATTTGTAATGTTACACCTGAGTCGTATATATAACAAATGGATATATACACACGTGCAAAAAATGAATATACACAACCGGGACATACAATATATCTACAATTGATACATACATTAGACAATAAGCAACTGCATATCATTATGTAAGTACGTGTGGATGTGTATGTTGTTGTGTTTATGTGTGCTAACAACCGGACTGTGATTGCGTTGGATTCGTTGATGACTGCAATAAACAACGATAAAAATTTCTTATCTAAACATTAAGGGTCATCAGAAAACAATACAAAACATGATAACATTTGAAGCTAAAACGAACATTCTCGTAATCACACATACTCGAATTATACCTACATATACATCATAGATGTCTCGATGTAATAGCCTGTTATTACATCGATACATCTACGCTACATACTATGTCTGTGTGTGACTGGTGTGTGTGTGTGTGTGACTGGTGTGTATGGGACTGGTGTGTGTGTGACTGGTGTGTGTGTGACTGGTGTGTGTGTGACTGGTGTGTATGTGTGCTAGTCTATTTATGTGTGTAAGTCTGTTCAAGTGTGACTATCTGAATGTTTAAATTTTTGTACATAATTGTCGCAGATAACAAAATAAAACACAAAAATCGAATCGCTTTGTGAACTTCAGCGATCTTATGGCTAAAAATAGACTATAATTAGCATACAATGTCTATTTAGAATTCACAATAACGTCACCATCATCGTCGTCGTCATCGCTGGCGAGCAGTGTAGCAAGAAATTGGACTGCATATGATAATGAGGTGGCTGTATGACGTAGATAGATGAATGCAAATACGAACAGTGAGTTCATGAATGCACGTACGCACCATTAAAACAAAGTTGAGTACGCGTTCACGCATTGCATACGCACGTGCATTTGAAACACATGCGCACTACCACATAATAGATAAGTTTATGTGCTAAACACTACTCCCTACACAAGCACTAAACAAGCAGTCGCCAGCATTAATTATCGCCGTAATTTTTTTCAAAGTCACGAGACGCACGCACATATTTGACCGTCCAAATGAGAGCATTGGTTTTTTGGATTGTGTAACTCGATGTAACACATCATCGCCTGCATTACCATACAATAAATCTCCGCTTACGTCATGAATGAATTGCAATGACGCAAGATGTCACGTGAAACAATTTGCGTGTTCGCATGATTGCTGTTAAAAGTGAGTGATGGAGGAAGAGCGTACACACTCCGGTTCGTTGTACCCGTACTCAAACAATCGCCACTGATTGCATTAACGTCAGAACGACCACACTGGAATAAATTATTATTATTATTACATTTGTCAGCATGATCAATCAAACGGTACTCAGAAAAAAAATTGTCGGGAAATTAAAAACATCAAATCACAAAAGCTATCACATAAACAACAAAGTAAAAATTTTGAAATCAAAGAACCAGCCGACCCATCCGAACAATTTAAAGCGATCTACCATTATTAATTGTAGAATAATACTAAATAAGAAACATTAATAATCTGATCATCGTTAATAAGTACAGTTAGTAGTACTTGTTAGTAACATAATCAAGTAAAATAATTTCATTGTTTTTCAAGTACAAAATTGTGGGTGAAATCGTATTCAATGGTCGGCATGACAGTCTGTACGAACTTCAAAAATATCATCAGGTACCTGTTTTAAAATTAAACATTCCAACTTAATTAATCAATAATAAATTGACGGCAAATTAATTAAAAATTAATTGACGATTAATTATAACGAGTATATTAATTGAATATTTAATAATTACAAATTAAATTGGATTGAAACTAACAAGTGTACTCCTAACTCGCAGCCTCCCTCGGCAACTGTCTCTATGATTCTTTTCATGACTTCAGCGTGTCTGCCCTCCATCATTCGGTCAATCAACCAATTAATTAAGTCAATTAAATGTCATCACTCGATAATTTGATTGATTAATTAACTAAACACTTATCTAGTCATAATTAATTGATTAATAATTCAATTAATTATTTATTAATGCAATTAAATTATTGAAAAATCCATCTACTTTAAATAACTAACAAAACGGTAATGTGGAAAAAGGAAAAAAAGTAAAAGGAATAATATAACCCACCTGCAGGGATGTACCGATGCCATTGGTGACGTCGCAATGTGTGGGTGGGTTTCCATGGTGACCGTTTTGTGGGCGTGGTCTTGGCTTATGTCCTCGTACATCTCTTCAACTGTCAGTGGGCGTCGGAGCTGATTGGATGAATATTCATTTATGCTAATCAGACAAACATCCAATAAAGATTATTCAGACTATTTGTGCTAATTAGGCGAATTAAACTATATCTTCGACACTTATTTGGCAGTGGATTTTTACTTGCTTATATGATTAAAAACAGTCAGTTATTAATAAATTTAATAAAAATAAATAAAAGTTAATATAAACAGTCAAATCAAAATTAATATGCTCAAGTCATGTGACCAGTAACCGGAGCAGACTAAATGAAAAAAAACACACCAATTTAATAATATATTGATAAATGAATAAACCACATTATAAGTAAACCAATTCATATAATTTTTCATTCACTCATTCATTCACCCATTTATTCATTCATTCACTCATTTATTCATTCATTCACTTATTCATTTATTCACTCATTCAGTGAGAACCTCGTTGTAACCAGAGAGCCACATCCTTGGTGTCTGGTAGTAGGTATCGTAAGTGATGTACAGGTCATACGTACGTGTCTGCAAGATGTTTGATGGCTGTGCTTCGACTACAGCTGTTGGCAGCATCTGTTGTTGTTGCTGCTGTTTTGTAGCAGCTGCTGTTGTCTACCAGCGTAAGAAAATGTTTAAAAAAGTTTTTACTGTCTCAGGTAATTATTTGTAATGCCATCATTGTAATTAATGACAGTTACAGCACACAATCATCACCCCACTCATTTACTCACATTATTGTCTTTAACGACTTCTGCCAGTTTTCCACTCCTGATAAACATAGCCATGTTAACAGGCTCCTCATCGTCGTCGTCGTCCTCTTCTTCTTCTTCGTCACTAACATCATCTCCATTTTTAGACATCTTTCCTATTAGTGGTCTGTTGTCCAGTTGAACTTTGTCAAGTGTGGGCTGCAGGTGGTAAGAAAAAATCTAAGATAATGGTGATGGTCAGTTGATGTGACCAGATATTTAAATTAAATTATCATTGATTGAAGTTTCAACTGATGCGAGCAAGCTAAAATAATGGTTAAGTTTAATTTATGCAAATTTTGTTTGATCTTTGGATCATAAAAATTTCAATAAACATTCTATCTAAAATCATAATATACAAGAATCCTGAAAGTAAATTGATTGGTAAAATAACAAGAGCTGAAATAATAAAAACTAAAATAATTTGACAGATATTTTCGATTCTTAAAAAGTAGACACGTGTTTGAATTCTAACAAGCTTTCAACTGAATATAAACACATCTCAGCTGAGCAGTCATTTTGTTACCTCTTTTTTAATTTTTAATTCACTGACTGCTTCTGTGACTTGATTGGTGCCTGGAAAAAATGAAAGAACTAGTTTGTATTAAAAGAAAATTTATTTTAAAGAGATTCAAATAAAATAATGTAAAAAAAATTAGTCACCAAAATAATTTTCAAGAACAAATACAATATAAAATGTACAGATGGAAAAGCAAAATTTAAATAAAAAATGTAGAGAACTAACTGGAGTAGTGATGCGTATCGACCCATCCACCATCGGCATCTTCTTCGATGATTTTTTCCTGGTCTGCTGTGTGGCTATCCATTTGTTTGACCCTCTTGTAACATGGCACTGATCAGTTCAACAAATTTAATTCTCTATCAACAATTATGAAAAAAAATTTCTTAAAAACCTATTAACAAGCTATTAAATTATATAATTAATTAAATCATATTAGAAAATAAAATATTCAAAGTTAGAGATACCATTTTTGGTCATGATAAACTGTTTATCAGGTGGTAGAAACGTTTTGATCTTTGAACTATCTCCCTTAGCCCACTGCCATGTAGGGCAGTGATGAACCAGGTGATCCCCCGCAGCCACAAACTAAATCAGCAACAACATTTGCAGACGTCAAAATTATAAATATTTAAATTAAAAACGAATTGACAGAAAAAAAATTGAAAATACTAAAAAACATCGAATCAATAAAAAAAAAATCATAAAATACTCGCCTCATCGGGGGTGATGACTCCAGTCTCTTTAAACTTGGATGCCTGGATAAAGTTTGCAAACAGATTACTAACATTTGTAAGGCTTTGTAATTAATTACAAAAAAAGCATATGCATTTACACAGAAAACTTTTAATTTTCCAATTATATTCCACTTAATAATAAATGGTTAGGAATCATAACAAATAATAAATATATGAATTATAAATAATAATAAATGCTCATTAAAAAATAGGGTTTGTGTATATATCATTATTATTGTCAGGATTGTTTATACAGACCCGATAAGATTTGGATTCACCAAATGCAATACTAGAGATTTGGTAAAAATCAAATCCATAATTATTGAATAAAGTATAGTTAAAAATGGTTTAATTAAATAATTTTAACTTCAAAACTGGAAAGTAAAATTTTATGAACTGTTTTAATCCAGATAATAAATAATAATAATAATAAAGTCATTTTATATAGTGCCATGGAAAGCGACTTAGGCGCATTATAAATGCACGTGAATCAATGCATCACACACTTTTGCATGTGATAGGCGGGGATCTTTTTATGCATTAAAACCCGGACACTGCATCAACAATGCCAGGCACCTCAGCTATTACACCATGGCGCCGCCCAAATTGAAGGTCTCAAATTTTTTGTTGTATTTTATTCCTATTAAAAATAAATTTTAATACATATGGATTTTGGACGCTTAATTTGTATTTTAATAATAATTTACTTTAATACATTAATAATTAAAGTAGATCAATTAAAAATAAAAACGAAAATAGAAAAAATAAAATATTAAATCAATTAACATTAAATTAAAATAATAATACAAAATTTAATTTAAACCAATTTCAATTCATCTCTGATCTAATACTAATTTTAAGAAAATTATTATTTATTCATGACTAATTCTAAAGAAACTAAAGTGAACCCATTAAGTTATTGGTTAAATTAAATGATTAAAATAGTTAAATCGAAATAAAATAAGAAAAAATGCCAGAGAAGACAAGACAAGAACAAAAAAGGGAAACAAAAAAGTGAGAAAAATTCCAAATGATCAAACTTTCAAAATCGGTGTCAAATGTTGAGCGGCCTCGACGATTTTTTGAGTGATGTAGCTTCTGAGAGGCTCCATGGAAATGGGAATGAGATAAAGAACAATGGCGGTGACAATAACTCCAACGATCACTTATTTAGTTCTTTCCGACTCCACAGTTCCTCTTTTTTTATTTTTTTCGAAACAAAACGGCAACAGGAAAAAATTTAAAGATATAAAAAGTAAACCTAGCTTCATGTGATTTAAAAAATAATAATGAAGCGCTTTATATTTGATACTGTTGGAGTAAAATGATAAGTATCAAATTGTTTAAAAACAGTTAGAGCTGCTGAGAGTAAAGTAGCGGCACGGTTCTGCCATTGTAAACCTTAACTTTATAAATGGTGAAAATGGCAAATCCCGCTCAGCTACATTCATATATAACAAAAATGAAATATATTATCAGTGTTCATGTGGCACTTTAAGAAAATTTTCGGTTGTCAATTGCTAGGTCTTATACATTACAAGAAAAAGGCAATTGAGTTGTATCAACCATGACGCATTTTAATAAGTTTTACACATTTTTTCAGTACAACGTTTGTTGAAAACTTTAATGTAGATTTTGTCGATTTATGATTTAAACGCTTGATTTCGATCTTCAAAGAAGAAAATGTTTGTTATTCGTATTTATACATATAGAATATATTTGAATGCTGGCATTAGCATTGGATTTGTTTTCCGTCTTTCTACGAAAAGAAAATCAATAAAGGTAAAATTTAATGGAAACATATAAATGATCTTTTAACAAGTTCACTCAAGAATAATAAATAAAAATTATGTTCAAGTTTCACGTAGAAATGAATTTGGAGCAGCCGTTAAACGCATATTTTCACTAGGAGAAAAAGTTTAAAAGGCAAAGGTCAATTAAACTTTTCCTAGGTTCAGAGGAATGAACACACAAACAGCCATTATGAATACACGCTAGATCACGCCTCCCAAACGAAGCTTGTGGCAGGTGGGAATCCTAGTGAAAAGGTGAAATGTGGCAGGAACTAATCCATGCACTTATGATAAAATGTTATTCTAATTTAACTTTGTAACAATAATAACCATTAATCAGAATATGTTCATTTAATAGAATTTTATCTATAAATATTTATAAACTAGTTGTTGGGGCCCACACGACATTGCCACTAACCACCTGCACCACCTTGCCAGTATTCGTGATTCAAAAGGAACCCTTAATTGTATGGGAGTCTGAATGACATTTTATTCAAATTAAATGCCTATGCCAATCGAACGAACCGAATCGTATTGACTAGAAGCGGAAAGAAACATTTCAAACTTCTGCATCCATAAATACGATCTGCAGAGCTCAAAAAGGCATCGACACCTCGCAAGCACATTTCTATTTTATAAAAATGTAGTAAAGTTTGCTTACTGAAAAAATATTAAAAAATGGTGTTTCAGAAACATTGTTCCAACTAATTTTGATTGCTTTTTGTGTCATTTTCTGTTTAATTATTGTCAATTTAACAGTTTTTCGTCTGTAAGTTTACATATCTTTCCTCCCTTTGTTAATATTAAACATTTGTACAAAAAAACTTTAACATACACACCACATAGAATGCATGTAAAAACAAATTTGAAAATTGAATTGAACCAAACACAGTGAAAACTCGCAATCGCAAAGATGCCATTTTTTAGGTGGCTCTTTGAGCGTCTAGCTAGACTAAGATAAAACAGCACTATATTTTACTAATCTTTTAAAGCTTCAACTGTGAACAAAAAAAAATTTAATTTAAGAAAATGTAATAATGCGCAAAAATGGCTGAAAACTACAAATTGCTGAGAATCTGTGCAATGAGTTAAAAGTCTTCTGACTTTTTTAGTGATTTTAAGTTTCAAATCATATTTCTTCACAATAACAAACAAACGACGTATAAAAAAAGAGAAAAAACTAAAGTTCTTCAGTTTTGTGAATGTTTCCGATAACAGTTTTAACTGCATGTTTCATTTTATATTCCCATGTTTCTTCGTAGCGATGTCTAACCGGTGGTCGTAATTTAATGGGTTTCGAGTATTTCGTACCAGGCTTCCACAAATATGCACATCTGAATCCTAAATTTTCAGCTTTGTAGTCCGGCGACAATCCTTTTCTGTCAAATATCAAATCAATTTTTGAAAATTATTAATCAGTTTAAAAAAGAATAAAATTATATGTAAAGTTACCTGAGTGAAACTCTGGTCTCTTCGTTTACTCTGCCATCAAGAGTGTCTAGAAATGAGCCACCTCTAACGGTGTGTTGAGGATTGTTTGCATCACTTTCAACTCTTGGTACAGTAAATGCAGTATTTGTCCATTCCCATACATTGCCGATCATGTCGTACATACCTAACGAAGTAAGTTTTTAAAAGTTATATTGATGTCATCATTTATCAGTGGCTGTCGAACTGACCGAAGTTGTTTTGAGGTTCGTAAGCGTCAACTGGGGAAACACCTTCAAAGCCGTCCCTCCCTATGTTGAAATCTGGAAATCTACCCTTTAAGTTAAACAGTATAATAATTTAAATACTATGGAAAACATTTATAAATATTCTTAACTGCACTCTGTTCTATAAACTGAAATATTTAAATTTGAAAAAATTTGTTATAATTTGATTTAGATGTAAGATGAAGCAAACCTTTCAAACGAACAATTTCAATCTAACCTGCCATAAATTTGCTCTTGTAAAGTCAGAAACGTTTCCCCAAGGAAATTTGTTTCCTAATAATTAAAATTAATAATAACTAAAATGTTATCTGGTTTTATATTTCAGACAACTTTCACTACAGCACAACTAATTTACCCGCTGCTCCTCCTCTGGCCGCATACTCCCACTCATATTCAGATACCACTCTCTTCCCCGCCCACAAACAAAAGGCGTAAGCATCGTGGTAGCTAACGTGAATGACCGGGTAGAGATCCTTTCCATCTAAATTGCTTCCCAGTCCATAAGGCTGCAGTTTTGGAAATTAGCGACAATGTGTATCATTTTTTTGTTTCAACGAATTTTAAAGTTTGCGAATTTACTTTCTAGTTTTTTTTACGATTTAGAACAAAACTATTTAAATAAAAGTGAATGAACATGTATACAAATTGAGAATTTGATATAATCTACCTGGTACCATGTGGCATTCCTAACCGCCACCCAATGACCACCATCCGGATGAACAAGGTGTTTGTTCACTTGGGCTTGCTGACTTTTGTGCTTGAAGAAGACCCAGCTGTATCCATCCAACTCCGCGTTCGTCAAATAATTTGGCTTTTCAGACTTGAACACTCTTTAAATATAGCAATGTTCGAATGACAGTCGATAAGTATAGAGTGATGATCCATCAGAAAACAGAATTACATAATTATATTAACATATTAATCAAAACATAATTATTGAGAACAATGATCCACAGAAACAAAACAGCAAACAATTTCGACTCTAGTGCAACTACGTGTTTACAAATGCTCACTTGAAATCTGCATTTGTTACGGGGTATCTGTCGATAGCAAATGGTTTAACTTGAATGTGCTTTTGTGGAAACTCTCCTGTTTTAAGAAGTTCCCTGCGCGGTGACCCCATCATGAAAGAACCTCTGTCGAGATAAACTATTGAGTCTTTTTTGTCCTCTGTAATTCAAATAATGTCGATAAAATCTTGTAAACACGAAAATTTTTCAGCTGCAACAAATATCAACACATACCTCCGGCTGAGAATGATGCAACGATGATCGCCACCATAAATCTCAGCAAACAAAACTCCATTTCACTTTTAGAACTAGATAATTTGAATATTAAAATAAAATAATCAAAAATAAGTTACGAACGCACGAATCTTCGAACGATACAGAATGAACATATACGATCCATTAATCTCTAGTAACGCTAGTATATAAATGCACGTCCGCTGCATAGACACGTATCTATATGACCTACCAAACACACACACACAGACATATATATATATATATATATATATAAACGTGTATAATGAATATATATATATATATATACACGCACATAAATAGACGCTTTAAACCAAACATGCCACGCTTAACTGGTAACAGGTTGCTACCGTTAATATGAACGTGAACGATTTCCTTTGCGTCGTCATTAATAACAAGATTGTATGGGTGTGCAGTGTGCATGCTTGTGATCGTTAATTAAGAACTTAATTAAGAATATACATATATAGTACATGTATCGAAAATGCCAATGTTTCAACAAGAAAAAAAACAAATCAGTTTTTCGGAAAAAGTCTGGAAGCTTCTTCTTTTGTCGATCTGGACCCTGAATGCGAATATTATAACCATATATATTATTTTTAATTAATAAAGATTAATTAATATTAATATGTATTAACTAAGCAGTTTCAAGTAGACTTTCGATTTCTTAATACGAACAATTAAATATCCATCACAATCCAGTCAATAAGAAATACTGTAAACTCAAACCTTTTTTGTAACTTGCAAATCGGTCCGGCGCTCTTTTAACTGATTTGTTTGACTTGTTCTCGAGTAGATCTTCATTTACCTGTGAAAAAATAAAAAATTTAAAATATGTTCGCACAAAAATTACAATTATTATGTTTCAGAAACTACCAAGTTTTAAATATTTGTATACTATTACATCATTCCTGGGTACTTTAATCAGTTTCGAGAAATCGGAAGACAATTCGAAGACGTTTCTGTACTTTTTTAGTTCGACTGGATTCCTTTTAAAAGTTTCTTCAGTTATTTTGAAAGCTGCCTAAATAATTAAATCGATATTTTTAAAACCTGTAATATAAAACGATTTATTAAAAACGATTTGATAATTTATTTTTTTTTATAAACGTTCATGGTCAATGCAAATTAATATCTGAAAACCTTGCCGGATGCAGCTGTATCTTTGGAAAAATTTAAATATTAAAACATTAAATATGGTAAATAAATGAATACGATAGAAAATAAATGTATTTAATCGCAGTTTAAACAAGTCAAAATTCATTAAAAAGTATTTCAATTTCTCAAACAGTAATCTGTGCAACAAACAATATCCTGTTCATAAGAATTTACTACATTGTAGGAATAGACAATGGTCCGTAAAACTTAACACTACGTTAAAACTTTACAAGTGTACCAAACCGGGTTAAGCAGGATTCGCGCCAAATAGTTCACAATAACGCATTTGGACATAGCCTTACTAATTAAAAAAAAAGTTTGTTAATTGCTCTGTAATAAAACGTTATAGGGGCTTAGGTCAGTGGTGGATCCGGGGCAAAGCGGAGATGCGTCATTCCGGATCCGGCACTGGTTACGGTTACAAGTTCATGCATAAATGAAATTATATTTGCAGCCTTAATATTTTGAGTTTTAAACTAGATGATTTTATTTAAAATATGAATCACTGATGACAAACAAGTTTGACAAAACCTTTTGTTGCGTTCAATTGAAATTTTGTTTATTGGAAACATTTGACTTTATTAATTTAATTAGCACTTTCTTTATCTCGGTGTCTGTGAGTTTCATTAATAACGAAAAATAAAAGTACGAACTTGGTTCATTTTTGTCGTCATTGTCGTCAGAACTGCTACTTAACTCGACCATTGACAACTCAGTCATGAGACGTCCGTTCTCTTTCGCTTTACTCTTCGACTCCATAAGCGGAAAGAAAATTAACAATGAAAATCAAAAACAAAACAATAACAACTGTACACAAAGTACTCATTTAAATATCTTAATGCTTGAATATAATCAAGTAAATACGCCATTCACTCATGAATATATTTTATATATAGTACAATAACGAAACTGTACTATATAATTGGTAAAATATTAATAATAATTATAAACTTGGTCCTTTTATTTACAGAAATTAGTGATAATGATGATGAAACCGTTGCTTCTGAGCACGTTATTAAACAGAGTTACATACAACTATTATAACTGGCGTTGATTTATATTTTATGTTGCTAAGTAACATAACTGATAAACTATATTATTATATTTAATAAATATATTATTAGATATATTATGATAAGTATATGGACATTTTTATAGAACATATATATAGAATATATACATTATTATATTCTTTATATTTTTATTATTGTTACTGTTATAATATAATATATGGAGTACTGCATCAAGCAGGACATGTTATTTTATTTATTAGTTGTACCATGCAACTGTATGTAAACATATTATGGCTGGTGAATTTTTTTCATCAAAAAGAAATCCCAGTAGAATTATTTCCCTACCACTGACAGACGTTGCCTACAGGCCTTCAGCAGACAGTCCTGAAATCATATTTTCAGGGTAAGCTGTCACTTTCATTATCTCAAACCATGATTAAAGTTTGATTATATGATAAATATAAAAAAATTTGTTTTAGTGTGGGTGTGGTTTTTATTTTTTGGTTGGTTGTTTCATTTAAACAAATTGTAAACTATTTTATATACTTTATTTATTTTATAGTTTTATTTATATACTAATACTCACCTACTGCTTACTTTTAACTCATTGCTACTCATTGTCCAGCTTATTTTTTGTAAAGTGTTTTAAAATGTTTACCTGTTTCGTTTATTATGTCAGACATACATATATAAATATAGAGAAGGATAGACAATACAACAGTTGTGTAAGTGTTGTAACATAACTGTAAGTAAGATAAGGTAGGGTAGGTAAGTTGTACAACCACACAAATGTCAAAAATGCAAACATTTTATTAACATGGTTTGAATGCTTTTTTGCCTAAAGTAAAGTAAAGTAAAGAATATATTAATAATTGGCAACTAATCATACATCATACAACTTCAGCTAGCAGAAGAAATAAAATAAAAAAAACTTAATATTAAATACTAGTTTAATATAAAATTTATAAAAATATATAAATCTAATTATTTATTACCATTATATTATATATAATATATAAATTTATAATTATATATGTTATATATATGTTGTTATTATAGTATTTGTTAGTTTAGTCTTCTATTTTTTACTTCAGTGAAAGTGATTCTTCATTAATAATTATATTATAATTATAATTAGAGATTTATAATATTATATTAGAACTAGACTACAATAATAATTTTTGTTATCGTAGTTGAATTAGGTGTTATTTGAATTAGATGGAATGTAAAGTAATTTAGATTTTTTTACATATAACTTTCCTTATGAATTATGACTGAATGAAATTATTATTATTATTTTGTAATAATTGTTTGTACTTTATATAATAACATTTATATAATATAATTAAAATACAAAAAAAATTAGACCACCAAAATGCCAAATTCTCCAAAAATTTCCAAATTGCTCTCTGTAGTTGAAATGAAACACTGGGAGGCTTATTATAGTCGTTCTACTAATAGTTTCAACAGGTTTCTTGGGTCATAGATATGGTTGTTTGCACCTAGCTAGGGGATTTTTATGTTACAAATTAATCATTCGGTTCTGTTTTTAAAAAAATATTTCTTTTGATGTCAATTAGTTTTAAAATCTTGGTTCTGTACAGTGTATACTCATATATATTTTGACCAATTTACTAGTTATCTTATAACTCAGGTTTAATTTTTTAGTAATTAGCTTCAGTGGCTGCTTATTGCATGACAGCTTAATTCTTTATATTCATCATTTTTGTTACCTCTCAGTTTTATACCAGAAAAAAGTTTCAGTTTTTGCTCACTTAACTAACTTTTGGTTTAACTAGAAATTTGTCTACTGTTAAAACAAATCAATAAATTCCTCTTGAAACGGACACTGCAACATGCAACAACTACGCACTAGTAGAACAGATAGTTCCCCCGAATCATTCACTGATAATGCACCATTGATGCTCACCCCCACCAACGATAGACAGATCACACCGACAGAAATGGATGAGAGTGATTATTTGATGAACACCAGAAGGAACTCAAGGTTTCCAAAGCACAAGACAGTTACTTATTATTTATGTGACAGTTGGGCCAATGTTTTGACAAGGTTATTTTTTTTTTAATCATTTCAAGTTTTTTTCAACAATAAAAATAGAATATTATTTAATAGTAGTTTAAAGTGAAGATTCACTAAATAATGAAATTAGCAAAAAAGGATTAACTTCTCAAGAATTGTGAACAACGAGCAGATGTTGTGAAGGAATCTGGAGTCGATGCATGCGAGCTCGTGAGTTGAAACATCGAACAATTGACTTATCAGAAGACCCCCATCAAAAGTCAAGAAGTGGCAAGTTCCCGGCTAATGTTATTAGGAATCAGAAGTACAGTGTAATCACCTTTATACCTCTGGTCAGTTGTAGTTGTTGAATTATTTTTTAAACGTTTTCACATCCACGTGAGTACATAATTTATTCATTTCAATTTATCCCTTCATTTTCTGGATAATTTCACGTGCTACTCATTAATTCACTGTGATAAATCATGTTTCAATATTTCAAAATAGGGATTATGTTAAATTAATATATATATATATATAATATATATATTTTTATTCTTTTTTAAAATTCTATGTAATATATATTCATGATATTATTTTTACTTTTACCATTACATTTGATACTTTCTGAATTGTCTTAGTTTCATTGAATTCAATAGCTTTTGAAATATTTCATCCATGCGTTACTCCTTGCCAGGTTTTATACGAGCAGTTCAAATACTTCCTTAACCTATTCTTTCTCGTCATGGCCCTATCGCAATTCATACCTGAGATGAAAGTTGGCTATCTATACACCTACTGGTTTCCTCTGGTGGGTATATTTATCGTTTCATACTTAAATTAACAATAATTATGTTAATATTTAATAAGAAAATTACAATAATAATAGTAATATTAATATTTTTATAATAATTGTAGAGAATCATTGTGGAATTGTAGAATAACTTCGGCCTCTGAACATCGATTTATTTGTTAAATTATAAACTCTTCATGGTAATCTATTTAAGATCATTCCACCATAATATTTTTTCAGCTGTTTGTCCTGACCGTGACACTAATCAGAGAGGCCGTGGATGACTTTCGTCGTTTCGTTCGCGATCGTGAGGTCAACACGCAGAAGTACAAGAGGCTGACACCACTGGGCGTCGAGCACATTGCTAGTCAAAAGATCAAAGTTGGTGACCTCATCATCGTTGAGAAGGTTAGAAGAAAGTTTTACTACTACTACTACTACCAAAACTACTACAGCTGCCACTACTACTGTACTGCTGCCACTATTATTACTACTACTACAGCTACTGTTACTGCTACTATTATGGTACTGATACTACTACTATTATAATTATTGCTACTACTACAACTACTACAACAGCACCAACAACGACTACTGTTACTACTACTACTACTGCTGCTACTATTATAACTACTTAAGCTACTACTACTACTTAAGCTACTACTACAATGCTGCTTCTACTACTACTGTTACAACAACAACAACTACTACTACTAATAATAATTTATTGATATTATTATTAATATTATTTGTTTATATTAATTCAATATTTTGATATGTTGTTATTATAACTAAGGATCAGAGAGTTCCAGCTGACATGGTCCTCGTTCGCACTAGTGACAAACATGGAACGTGTTTTATTAGGTAAGGTTTGTAATATTAGAAAACATTCCTGAATGTTTCAACCAACTGGCATAATGGTCTAGCTTAACAATGGCCTATCTACCTTTTTTTGTATTTCAGTTTGGAAGAATGAATGACCACGAAGTATATGTCATTCGTTAGAGATGAACTTCAATTAAGAAATCTGTATTGATGACTTTTTTGAGAATGAATTATAATTGGCTTGCTTTTTATAGTGTTTTTAATATATGATCGAATAAATGAAAGAGTGAATGGATGAATGATTGAATGAGTGAATAAATGAATAAATGAATAAATGAATAAATGAATAAATGAATGAATAAATGAATAAATGAATGAATGAATGAATAAATAAATGAATAGATGAATAAATGAATGGATGAATGAATGAATATGAATGAATGAACGAATAAATGAATGAACATACAAGTAGATATAATTACATTTTATTATCCGTTTTGATGATAATTTATTTTCTGTATCACATCATCATTGTTATCAAGTTACTTATTTATTGGACAGGACTGACCAGTTGGACGGGGAGACTGACTGGAAGTTGAGGGTGGCCATCCCATCAACACAGAGATTGAACAGTGATAAGGTAAGGAAAAAATTCAATCAATCTATCAGTCAATTGTTCAATCAATCAATGAATCAATCAATGAATCAATCAATGAATCAATCAATCAATTAATCAATCAATGAATCAATCAATCAATCAATCTGTCAATCTATCAATCTATCAATCCATCCATCCATCCATCCATCCATCCATCCATCCATCCATCCATCTATCTATCTATCTATCTATCAATCATTCATTCTATCAATCAATTGTTCATTCAATCAATCAATCAATCAATCTATCAATCCATCCATCTATCCATCCATCCATCCATCCATCCATCCATCCATCCATCCATCCATCCATCCATCCATCCATCCATCCATCCATCCATCTATCTATCTATCTATCTATCAATCATTTATTCTATCAATCAATTGTTCATTCAATTAATTAATCAATCAATCAATCAATTATTCAATAAATCAATCAATCGCTTGTTTAATCAATCAAATATTTTTTTTAATTCTTCGTAATGCAGCCCTGTCAAACGCAAATAATAAATTAATCTTGCTGTAAACTGAAGTTAATTTTAAATTAGTCAAATTAGTTCATTCATCTAAATATATCCTTGTTACTTGGTATTTTATAACTTTTTTCCATTTAACTATTGCCTTTCTGAGCTTTTATTTTCCATTTTATGAATATAAAATGTTTAGATGGAAAAAGTTTGAGACATCGAGTTGTAAAAATAATGACATCATCAGATTCTACATTTTTTTTTATAAACTACCTTTTTAGTATTCCTTAGGGATATTATTTATTGACAAGCACACAAATCGCATGTGAATGGCTGGGATATCTTTGTATTAAAACCCCGGTTCATTGCAATAACAAGCAGAAATGACAGACATTTTAACCATTACGCTATCATGCTGCCGAATTTGATGGATTGAATTTGGTGGTTTTGTACTTTTGTTTCTAGGAAATCTTCAACGCTCCAACGCAATTGTTTGCAGAGAAACCACAAAAGGATATACACAGCTTTATAGGAACTTTTTCTAGAGTTTGTTTTTTATTCATTCATTCATTCAATAAATTCATTCATTCATTCGTCAGTCGGTCAGCCATTAATACAGTCAATCATTACTTCTTCCACTCAATCAACAGTCAATTTTTGTATTTATTATCAATTTTTATTTCCATTAGCTGGCTAATTAGTAATGAATAACGACTTTATATTTATATATTGACTAAATAAAAATATTTTATTAAAATAAATTTAAAATAATTTCAAACCACAAAAATTTTGCCTATTATTAGTCATTTTTATCTTTTGTTAGATTATTTTAATTTTATTATTCATACTTTGTATATTTCTATTACAATCAGTCGTCAGATAACTCGAAGGACTCTTTGAACGTGGAGAATACCATGTGGACGAACACAGTCCTAGCTTCAGGATCAGTCTTGGGAGCCGTCGTCTACACGGGATGCGAGACCAGGAGCGTCATGAACACGTCCAAACCATCGCAAAAAGTTCGATACAACTTTCTATCCAGATTTTTTTTTATTTATTTTTTAATTCTTCAAGATATTTTCTTTAATTTTTTTATATGTTACGTTTAATTTATTTCATTAAAATTTAATTATTTTATTAAAGTGTTTATTGAAAAATTAGGAGGCCTAATAATATGAAATTAACTTTAATTCTACAGGTGGGTTTGTTGGATCTCGAGGTGAACACATTAAGTAAGGTCCTCTTCTTCATGGTATTCATGATGTCACTGGCCATGATGATTATGAAGGTTGTTCACGTGCCTAATTGATTCATTAATTAATTAATAGATTAATGTTATTCTAACTTGCCATTTAATTTGATGTGTGGAATTGGTTTGTCATCTTGGGAGAAGCTGTTCGTATATGTCATTTTTCCTTCTCACACCTCGAGACTATCTCCAGATATAAGGAGAGCACAAGAGATAGATGGGATCGCCTTGGAGAACACCAGAACGCCACATCTGACCGGAATTGCATCCTGAGACAGAGATATTTTTTATTAAGATTTAGATCTGGATTGGGATGTTGTAACTTTGTAAGGTTGTAACTGACTTCCCCAAAGGCGCTACGGACGGAAATCTAAGAGTGTGACGATGAGAGTACTTTGGTGTTTCTCTGCATCGTTGATATTTGCGTCAGCATCTGTGTGTGCTCAGTCAATCTATCAACCTTGGAGTAGAACCATTTTTGATTGTTTGTATTAATTAATTTGTTAGTTCCAAGGAACTGATACATTCTGTTGTTGATGAAGGATGAAAATACTTTAAAGAGTGTTGAGTGTAGCGTTATTGGACGAAAATTTGAAAGGTTATTGGCATCTTCCTTTTTGTAGGTTTGAATCGTGAATCCTTTTCTCCATGAACATGACCAACATTGACTTAATAATCGACGAAGTATTGTTTTGAGTATTGGGAATTTTTGAAATGGTATGATTGATATCTGATCGAGTGGACATGGAGATGATTTTGCTTTGTGTTTATAAATTATTGTTGAAATTTCGTTGAAACTGTTGTGTTGCAAGGTGTTGACAGGGATGAAAGTTTTGCGATCCAGTTTGGAAGTTGCTGTTTGTTGTTGTGGTGAGTGTCACTTAATCTGGAGTAGAAGTATAGAAGTGCCGCTGTATACCGGGCTCAGACTTTTAGTTGAATTAAAAATTCATTGCAGAACCAACAGCATAAAGTTTTTAGCTGGTTTGTCGTGTCATGTCGTTGTGTTGAGTCTGAAGATTTTGTTGACGATAGTTTCAATCTCTATTTTGGTTATTGCGTTCCAACAGTCTAAGTTGTTTTAACTCTTTTTTTTAACAACTGAACAAACTTTTTTGTGTGCAGTTGTCCAATTCATTTTTTTGATTGATGGTGCCGAAGTTTGAGGCGAAATAGTTGTACATCATGATTTGAAATGTGTCTGTGAACTCATCCAAGTTTTTGAGATTTAGTAGCGTTAGTTGGTGGAGTTGAATGTATGCGTTAGCCCCAACCATTTTTTTAAGGCTTTTTGGATATCTGATTCCAAGAAGAAGTGTTTTTGTTCGTTCAACTTTTTGTGCTGGCTGTTTGTCTGTTGTTGAAGTTTGTTGTTGAGTGTTTGGCGATGTTGGTGACGATGGTGACGGCATGGTTGAGTTTCCATCGACGTTGTGCTGTTGATTTGCTGCTGTTGAGTTTCTGTTGACGGTGGCGACGACGGTAGCGACGAGGTTAGTTGAGTGGTTAGTCGAAGATTTTGGTGAATTTTGCACGAGCGCTGATGCACTTTCAGCCCATCCAACCTTTGCAATTTCTTCAGCAGCAGCAACAACCTTTAATTAAATTATTATTATCCACATTGACTGAATAGTAATAATAATAATTATAACACACTGACAGGGTTTTGGTGGGCCCTGGTATAGGTACATGTTTAGATTCTTAGTCCTCTTCTCTTACATCATACCTCTGAGCCTTAGGGTGAACCTGGATGTTGGCAAGATGGTGTACGCCTACTTCATTCAGAAGGATGCTCAGATACCGGATACCGTAGTGCGCAATACCACGATAGCCGAGGAAATGGGAAGGATCACCTACCTGCTGTCCGACAAAACTGGAACTCTCACGCAGAATGAAATGGTTGGTGTCTAATTTTTTGAAAATGTTATTTTTCCTGAAAGTTTTTTTTATCGTTTTGAATGGTAGTGGTAATAATTGTAAGTTGAAATTAACTTTTTATTACGATATTTTGTCAATATTTTCACGTTAACTTCAAATTGTAATTTTTTTTCATGAAAGGTTTTCAAAAGGTTCCACATAGGGTCTGCCTCGTACACATCAGAAACTAAGGAGGAGGTATTACCAGTTGAAATAGTTTTTATAAATGCAAGCTAATCAATACTTTTAAATGATTAGCCCGGTTAGTTTGTGTTAATTGTATAGAAAACGAGTGAAATAAATTTTCTTAATCCTTCAGCTGACAGGGCACTTACAGGCATACTTCTCTCAAAACGTGCCCCCTCAACAACCATCTTCGTCATCAGATCCGAACCAGCGACTAAGAAACACGCTGGTGAACATGGTGACGGAGTCCATCAAAGGTCTGGCCCTCTGTCACAACGTCACTCCGATGTCGGAAGGGGGAGACAAAACCCCCGTGAGACAAAATTCCGCCGTGAACATCGGTGGTAGTGGTGTTGACAACAACGTAACGGCAGAACAGTCGGACACTGAGGCAGATCAGCAACTTCAACATCAGCAGCAAACCGTCAGCTACCAGGCTTCGAGTCCCGACGAGGTGGCACTGGTGACATGGACGGAGAGTGTCGGACTGACGTTGCTGAAACGTGACTTGTCGACGATGATGCTGAGGACGCCAGACGGCCAGCTACTCGGCTACGACATCCTTCAAATATTCCCATTCACGTCTGAAACCAAGAGGATGGGAATTGTAGTCAGGGTCAGTTGGTTGTTGTTGTTGTGGTGTGTGGTTGTCGTGAAGATGGTGGTCGTGTTTTTGGACATTATTACATTATATATAAACAGCAATGCAACTAAATCAGCGGAGTCACATACGTTTTCATTCTTAAATTGAATACTATCACGTGAACAGGATCAAAAGACAAATGAAATAACATTCTACATGAAGGGAGCCGACGTCGTCATGCAGAAGATAGTTCAGTACAATGATTGGATGAAGGAAGAGGTAGTGGGTGGAGTCTAATCTCATGATTGGCATGATGATTGCAAACATATTTTACTTTACTGTAAATAGTTAATTAATTAATTAATTAAATTATTGCTAGATTAGTTTGTGATGTCGACAGTTATTTTAACGGTGATAATTTTTTTATGGTGGTAATAAAATACTGAAGATGACAACGCTTAAAATAGTAGTAACGGTGTTGATGATAATAGAAATGATGAAGATGTTGATGAAGGTGGTAAATATGTTGACGATGACTATGGTGATACATCATCCACACCACAGTGCGACAATATGGCGAGGGAAGGTCTGAGAACTTTGGTGCTAGCCAGAAAGACAATCACACAAGAGCAGTATCTCGATTTTGAGGTATCATAATATATACAGTATTGTTATTATTATAATTTATGATGAATAAATTATTATAATTTATTTATCATAAATTATAACGCTGTTCGTATTTTTTACAATTTTCATATCTCCTCTTGTTGCCAATCCATTTAACTTTTCGTTTTTTTTTAGTTTAAAAAATTCTTCATGACTGTTTTTCTCATTCATTCTCTCTTTTTTTCTTTCATTATTTATTTTTTCCTTCCTTCTTCCCTTCTTTATAAATTTATTTGTTAACCCTTCCTTGATTACAAAAATAATGACAACGTTAACCACAATAGCCACAACTATAACAGCCACAATCACCAAACAACCGCCAACAACAGAGCAGATACCAGCAAGCCAAACTGAGCGTGTCCGATCGACTGAGTAAGGTGTCTGCGGTGGTAGATGGCCTGGAGAGAGACATGCAGCTGTTGTGCGTCACTGGCGTCGAAGACAAGCTCCATGACAATGTTCCTGTCACTCTTGAACTTCTCAGGAATGCTGGAATTAAGGTTATACGATGATGATGATGGTGGCGATTAAGATGATTTTGTTGACAATTTAGTGGTGATATTTAAACAAAAAACCACCAACTCTTAACCGATGATGATGGTGACGATTAGGATGGTGTTGCTGACAGTTCTGTGGCGGTATTTAAACAAAAGACAACCAACTCTTACCATAGGTGTGGATGTTGACTGGTGATAAGTTAGAAACAGCTACCTGCATTGCGAAGAGTTCGTGCCTGGTGTCGAGACTGCAGACGATACACGTCTTCAAGAACGTTCTTGATAGAGCTGACGCACATCTCGAGTTGAATGCCTTCAGGAGGAGAAGTGACTGTGCTCTCGTTATATCTGGAGATAGTCTCGAGGTTTGTTGGCTGACTGATTTGTTGCTTGGTTCATTTTTATCTTATTTTTTGATTCACCCATTATTCCTATGTATTTACGTATCGTTTTGTGCATCAATTCATAATGATTCATAATGTTCATTCTTTTGACGATCCAACCACCATCCAACTCAATGATGAAAACTCAGATATGCTTGAGATATTACGAACACGAGTTCATGGAGTTGGCATGTCAGTGTCCCACTGTTGTCGTCTGCCGCTGCTCCCCCACCCAGAAAGCTGACGTCGTCAAACTGCTCAAGTACCACACTGGAAAGCAGACATGCGCCGTCGGTCAGTACACTGTCCTCGTGTGTGTCTTTGTGTGTGTGTGTGTGTGTGTGTGTGTGTGTGTGTGTGTGTGTGTGTTTGTATGTACGTGTGTGTCGGTCTGTCCGTCTGTATACTCTGTAACTGTGTATGTACGTATGTACCTGTGCATTTTAAGTGTGTAAGTACTTTTTGTACGTGTAGTTGTGCACTTGTATGTGCGTCATTGTTATTGTTGTTGTTGTATAGCCGGTTATTAGCTTCACCTTCGATTATATAAATGATTGATTCGATCGTTCTAGGCGATGGTGGGAATGATGTGTCGATGATTCAAGCTGCTGACGTTGGCATCGGCATTGTCGGCAAGGTGATTCCTTGGCCTTAATTCATTTCCAACTATCTCAAATGTATCTTAATGTTAGATATTTATCAGATATCAGCTGACTTAACCAGAAGATGAATGTTAGAATTAGTTCGAATTAAATTATAAATGTTAATGAGGTGATGCATATCAATTAGCTGATTTATTAATTAAATATTGAATATTAATTAATTAATTAATTAAAGGAAGGCAAGCAAGCTGCGTTGGCTGCCGATTTCTCCGTAAGCCAATTCAGTCACATTGGTCCATTGTTGTTGGTGCATGGCAGAAACAGGTCTGTTCGATTTGCATGCATATAATTTCACATGAATTTGCTGAGGTATTTGAAATAATTATAACATATAAGTTAATACTAAAATTTTATAATTTGTAAGCGCTATACAAATGATGGCAGTTGTTACTATAGTTGTACTGTCTGCTTTCTCAAAATAATAATAAAAATGGTTATACTGTAGTTGTATTGACTGTTTTCTCAAAATTATAATTATAATGGTTCGTATCGTGAAACTTTTTGCAAATTCATTCCATTTAAATTACGTAGAATGTTTTCAATATGTATTCGCCAACTTGTCATATAGAATTATGCCATTAAAAATTACTAATTAATTATAAATAATAATAATTTAAAATCATTTAGTTACATGAGGTCAGCGGCGTTGAGCCAGTTTGTGATACACAGAGGTCTCATCATATCCTCCATGCAAGCTGTCTTCTCTGCGGTCTTCTACTTTGCCTCACTCTCACTCTTTCCTGGATTCCTGCTAGTTGGGTGAGAGTTCGTTTATTTGGCGGTTAAATTTTAGTTTTGTGATCCCCTTATCTGAGTACTCACGCTCGTTTCGGTTTATTGTTGGTTTATTCATTTTATTATTTTATATACCTGCAGTTTTAAAATTTATATTGATGTGTTTTTTTTTATATGTCCGCTCGTGCTATCATTGATGAAATCTACGTCATCATCTTCCTACTCCTCATCACAATTATCATTGGCGTCATCACCATTACATGATCACCATCCTCATCATTGTTATCATCATCACAACCACATTATCGTCATCATCTTTATCATCATCATCGTCGTCGTCGTTCGTGGTCATCATCACAACCGCATAACCACATCAAGGTACGCCACGGTATACACAAACTTCCCAGTTTTTTCATTGGTCCTCGATAAGGATGTCTCAGCAGAAATCGCCATGAAGTTCCCTGAACTGTACAAAGGACTCACCAAGGTTCGTTAATTGGTCAGTCGGTTGGTCAGTCGGTCGGTCGGTCGGTCGGTCGGTCGGTTGGTTGGTTGGTCAGTCGGTCGGTCGGCTGGCTGGCTAGCTGGTCGGTTGGTTGGTTGGCTGGTTGGTTGGTTGGTTGGTTGCTCATTGTTTTCATCATCAACATCTCCATTAGCAATATTTCTTCTGTTGTATGTTTCGGTACCAATTTGTTTTACCAATTTTCTATTTAAACGTGCTATTTATTTGTTCAATTAATTTTTAATTAATTTTTCATTGTAGTATGCTATTTATTTGTCTAATTAATTGTTTTCCAGGGCAGAGCCTTAAATTTTCGAACGTTTTTTATGTGGGTCCTTATAAGCATCTACCAAGGTACCAATCATTTCTCTATTCACCCTTACTATTATCAATGATACACATTAATGATACATTTCAATGATACACCTCAATGATATACATTAACGGTACGTGTTAATGATACACATTTATGATATATGCGAACGATACTTACCGCCAGGTGGCGCAATTATGATCCTGGCGTTCATTTTGTTCGAAGCCGACTTCATCCACATCGTCTCCATCAGCTTTTCTTCTCTCATCCTAACGGAGCTGCTGATGGTTGCGCTTACAATCCATACTTGGCATTACCTCATGATAGTCGGCGAGTTTCTATCTCTTGTCAGTTACGTCGTGTCACTCTTCATCTTCAAGTCTTACTTTGGTACGTGCTTGGTTGGTTGGTTGGTTTGTGACTAGCTAATTGGTTGGTTGGTTCGTGGTTGGTTGGTTTGTGGCTGGTTAGTTGATTGGTTGGTTCGTGGTTGATGATTTGTAATTGGCTGGCGGTTTGACTTGCTTTGCTTGATTGGTAGATGAGTTGTTAGTGGGTTTTTTAATGGTTTTATTAGTTTTGTTGGTTGATTTTGTTTGTAGCTTGAGATTTGTTTGATTATTTTGCGTTTGTCAAATTAATTAATATAAAATTTGTAATCAATCATAATGTACAAAAATATAGTTTCACTGACTTAAGTTCAATAATTTATTTTCCCGCCTATTCATCAGACGTTGACTTCTTGTTGTCGTGGAACTTTTTGTGGAAAGTTTTGGTGACAACATCAGTCAGTTGCATCCCGCTGTTCATTTTGAAGTACCTGAGGAGGAGGTTTGCTCCACCCAGCTACACCAAGTTGTCATGATGATGATGATGATGATAATGATGGTGGTGGTGGTGGCGATGATAATGGAGGATAGGTTATGGTTATAACGATGATTAGCCCACTGATTTATAATCACGACATGACGGCCATGGCTGAGGTTATTATGACGAGGATGGTGATTACATGATGAAAGTGAAATTATTCTCGTAAATCTGAAGTTGAGATGATAAAACGAAGATGATGGTAACGAAGGACAGGATGATTAATATGCTAATGATGTTGGCGAGAATGATAATAACGAGGCAATCTCTTTCATGCTACTTTATTTATTGAATGTAAATTATGAATATTCAAGTCATCTTACATGAATACTTTGTCAAATTTACATATATTATATCAAGTATGATTTCGGTACGTCGTATATATATTTTTATATTTTATTGCGAAAACTGGATAAATGAATAAATGCAAAGCTTATGAAATACTTCAGATGAGTGAATGAATGAATGAATGAATGAACGAACGACTGAATGAATGAATGAACAAATGAATGAATGAGTGAATAATTAATAAAAAATTAATAAAATTTCAGTACTTTTGTAGCTTGATTCATAGAAAAAAACTTGTGATATCGTAATTTTTTATCAGTTTACTACTTTCATAAAATTTCTTTTATCTAAAACAAAGTGACATGAGTCGAAAGTTTTGTCACGGTCGTTTCATCATTTTGTTTAAATTATTATCATTAGGTTGACAATTGTTTTCCTAATACAAGATGTAGAAATTATGTAAAGGCCAATTATTATCGTTATGTGGTGTGTGTGTGTGTGATAGTTTTTCACTGATGATTAAATTTTTTTAAACCTTTCCATTTCGCTTTATCAACAAATTGAAATATCTGGCTTTAAATTGCTATCCGTATCCAGTTGACATCCTTTGTTCGTATTATATCTGCCTTTATTATTTATAGATGATGAATGCTTTATAGGAAGAATGTTGAATACTATCAAAACATGTGACTAAAACGTTACTTTTGTTGAAGAATGTAATTATTTATTTGCAAAACAACTTTTTGTCGGTGCATTCTGAAAAATGTTCATACTCGCTTGCGAGGTGACGGTTGGTGTAAGAATTATTTTATCTCGTGTTGTAACGTAACTGACATTTATTTAATATCTGTCGATCGATAACAACATTTTATAATTTATGTTGTTGTTCATATATCTCATTGTAAAACACTTCTCCACATATTCGTATTTAATTTAAAAAAAACCGTACAATAATGTTTCTCTTTCGTCTTGAGGTTCACCTTAAAATATAAATCATTGTCTTAGTTGAACAGTTCCAACAATTATCTGGCACATTAATAGTTTTGAGAAATTTGTAAACTTCATTTAATCACGGTTTTTCTGCTGCTTTACCTTCAATTGAGTGAAATACAACGTACCTATGGGGTTCCTCTCTGATTCCTTTCCGTTAATCAGCCAATAAATAAATATATGGTTTGTCTTTACATTATACTGCGTTAGACGATGTAGACTTAGCAAAAGATCTTGCCGTGTGCTAATTGCATGTTCATCTTCAGATAAGCCGATTTTGAAATTAATTCTTTTGCTTTATTGTATTCGTTTGAGTCGTATCGTAATACATGTGTAGACAATGAGATGGTATTGGAATATGGGTAGGACAGCATGCAAAACATGCTACGGCACGGAAAGCATTACATGAAAACTCTATACATGTCATCTACAGTAAAACTACCTGGCTAATTTTTAAGTTCTCAGCTTCCCTATATTTCTTCTATTTTTGTTCATTTAACGTCGTGAATTGTAAATTTTTAATAGTTCATATAACGTTTTCAAGTGTTTGTTGAATATTTTTTTTTCGACCACTTGAGTTATTATATATATTAATAAATAATAATATCTAATTTCAAATGAAAGACTCAATGACATGACTTTGACTGACTATACATCAAACAACTTGACGGCGCCACTACTTCATTTTTTAGATAAGTAATGCATAACGCATAAGTAATGTTTGTTGGCAATTGCACTTTGAATATAAATAAGCTCACATCTTAGTATGGAGCCATCTATTATTAACCTTTATTCTCTCTTTCTCTTTCTCTCTCTCTCTCTCTCTCTCTATATATATATATATATATATATACATATTACTCCAATTTATTAAGTCATACAAGATGGCGTATGCTCTTTTGTAATCTACAGATTTAAAAATAATTTGTCTGAAACAAAATCCGCGAAAAAACAGGAAATTAGCATTGACCAGCAAATAGAATTCTAACCCTTCTCTAGAATTAATAAGTTTTATAAGCGTACGTGTGTGTGTTTAAACAGTGTAGATAGGAGGTATGTAAGTGCATTGTGACTGCATGCATATGTTACACGTGTGATGTGTGTGTATATAGAAAATTAATTGAAAAAATGCTTTGTATCAGCAAACTTGATTAAACATTGATCTTTATAAAAATTGAAATATCAGTTTTTAGAGAAAGTAAAATGTATTAATATATATGGGTATTCTAAGTACATAGATCATGTAGTACAGCACACATACATGTATGTATTGTATATGGAGATTTGATATAGATATATTAGGTATTATCTACAGAGAAAGTCAGGCATAAATTTCAAATAAATTCATTAAAATTAATTAATTAATTAATTAAATTGGATAACGTTATAATATTATACCTAACAGTCTGGCGTTTGAGCGTAATTAATAAATATCCATCACCATGTACAATTCATTATAAATACATACATGATGGGCCGGCAACGATTTAGTTTACCCTACATTTTAGGTGATTTTATCGCATTTTTACATTTTAATCCGTTTTTTTAGAGATTTTAAATCGTGAAATTTCAAAGAAAATATTTAAAAATGAATTTTTCCATTGATAAAAACTTGCTGCGGACGAAAGCCACGTATTTTATACTTTTTTTGGGTTAGTTTTTTTTATTGTTTTTACTATTTTTTATTTTCATTATAATTATATTATACTAAATCATAAATTAATATTAATAATATAGTAATAAATATAATTGTAATAGTGATGGTTAAATAATTTTAATATAATTTAATATATTATATTCAAGACAATATTTTTTTTCATTATTGTTCACTAAAATATTATATAATATAAATGGGAATAACTATAGCAACCACAATTGTGTAACAAAGTTTTTGAGAAACGAATATTCTTTAATTTCTGAAAGCTTTAGTTTTTATAATTGTTGTAGTTATTAAAAGTTTTTGCACTTGTAGTAGTTATTGTATTGAGATTATACAGTAGGGCATATGAATTTCAATGTTAATGTCATTTTTATTTTCAATTTGGTTTTTTAATAGTTCAGTTAATAAACTATTTTCTTCAGGCATTGCCTCATTATGGCCTTATATTCCGGTATTCATGGACATGCTCAAATTCTCTTCTACACAAATTGCTATTGTAACAGTCATTCCAACTATAATATCTGGAGTGATTAGATTTTTTGTTGGCTACTTGGCCGATAAAATGAGTAAAAGAAAGCTGATATACGTACTGAGCTCTATTTTGTCTGTGGTGTTTTTTGTAGCAATATATTTTTTGCCATATAATGAAAATGATTTAGGGAGAAAAATTAGGGATGGGAATAAACTTTGGTATTTCTGTAGAACAAACTCAACTGAGGATGATTCAAGTTACTCATTCACAAATCAAGATGTGTTTCTACATATTGGATCATTTAATGCCAATGGATTAGATAACATTCCGTTTACCGGTGATGAAATTACTTTGGTTGCAAACTGCCAGTTTAATGAATCAGACAGCTGTGATAAAAATATGATCAACGATGCAGTGACATTCAAGTTGATACCATCTTTAGAAAAAAGAGATTTTTATAATGCTATGTTTAATTCAACAATCCTTGAACATGTAAACGGTAGCTGCTTGACTTTTGGATCATGCACATTCTCCCAAACAGAAAAACATAGAGTTTATTCCAAAACTATCTGGTTGTTTTTCGTACTTTTCTTGTTTGCCCAAACCCTCTTCAGCCCAATCTACAATATTTTAGATAGCATTATATATTCCTACTTAGCTAGTTTGGAAAAATTGAAAAATTATGGTAAAATTCGACTTTGGGGTACAATCGGTTTTGGATGTGGTGCTTTTTTTTCTGGAACTCTAATGGATATCATTCCAAAATGTTATGGAAGGATGGTTTATCTGATTAATTTTGTTTCATATTCAGTCTGCTTGCTGTCAGCTGCTCTCTTAGTTTCGTTATTTTTGAAAGAAAGATATCCAACTAAAGAATCGAAGAAGAGTTTTGATAACAAAGAAATAACTGACAATAGTAATCATATGATTAAAGAAATTTTAGCTGACGGTAATGAAAATGTTGAATTAGCTGACCAGGATGTGAGCATAGCATTAAAAAGTTCAGATGATGAAAAAAGGATAACTAATACATCAGCAGCACATATAAATTTTAGAGAACTTTCAAAAATTTTCAACAACTTCTACCTCGTGAACATTTTAGTCAGTTGCATGGTGGCCGGGATATTGGCAGGGCCTTTTGAATTATTTTTCTGCATATATCTTGGCACACTAGACGAGACAAATAACAAACAGGTGATGGGGATTTGTCTCCTGGCATCATGTATCTTAGAAATTGTAATATTGTATTATTCTGGAAAAATTATGGCATTCGTTGGAAGAGCAAGATGTCTTTACATTGTATTTGTCACATACACATTCAGGTACATTTGTTCATCTCTGATCACCAATGTTTGGTATGGAGTAATGACTGAGGCTAGCCAGAGCATATGTTTCGGTATTTTCTACCCTGTTATAACTTCTTGGGCAAGTTCACTTACGCCATCATACTTGCAGAGCACTGTTCAGTGTTGTATAGGGGCTATATACTTTTCATTTGGTTAGTAGGCAGATTTTTTAATCAATGTTTTTAATTTTTATGTTTTGTTCAGTTTAAATTTTATTCACAAATACCCACGCCAACTGTTGTTTAAATATATCCATCATGTCTTCGATTCATCTTGTAACTTTTTTCTATTTAACTTGATTGTAAAAATGATAAACTTTTCTTGAAGTTACATATACGTAGTTATTTATTTTATTATTTAATTAGTTATTATATATTTACATAATAATACTTTTTATTATTATTAATAAATGTAATTGTTAATAATAATTCCATTTGCATAATTTTATTTATTTTTTAGGTAGAGCAGTTGGAGCAGGACTGGCAGGATTCCTGAAGGACTTGTATTCATTTCCTGTGATGTTCCAAATATTTGCTGGCCTCTCAGCCGCCTACCTCCTCTTCATCGTCATTCTCTACGAACTTCTTGACAAGATTAGGCTGAAAAAAATTAACAATAAAAATAAAAAAGAAATTAATGATAGGAAAAATAGCTTCAGGAATGATATCACAAATAATAATAACAATAATAACGATGCTATTAATGATAGTAGCGGTGTCAATGATGTTGATATCAATAGAATTGATAATGGGGATACAGCTAGCGTTGATACTAACAATCATGATGGTACTAAAATTAATGATAATGGTGGTGATAGTAAGTAGCCTTAAGTAATAAAGTATCATTGTTTAGTTGAGGGTGATACGTCATATTGATGGCGGTGACGATGAGAATAGTTAAATTTATTTTTGGTTAATTTTAAAATAATTTTTTATCATAATTGAAACCTAAAGAAATGTTAAAATTTATTAAAATTATATTATATTATTTATTATTTAATAATAAATATATCTAGTATATATAAGTATATCAAGTATATACAAGTTTAAGTAAATAGCTGAAAATGATAAAAATTAATGGCTAATATATTAAGATAGTATATCTATAGCTACTATATCATCGTCATCATGTTCAATTTACATCAGCCATAGTCGATGGGATTGTTGTGTGAAATAGCTGAATAATAGTTAATTGATCAAGTGTAATCACGTATGAGATTAATTAAACATTTATGATAATAAGTAATAATGATAATAAATAATGATAATAAAAATAAATAGTCATAATAATAATTAAGATAATTTTCTTAATTGTTAATGCTAATTTTCTAATGCTAATCATTTCTTAATGAGCATATAATGTTCAAAGAAAATTATTTATTCGTTTTATATCTCAATGTTAATTAAGCATTCGCTGTAACATGAAATTATATTTGTTTATATATATATATATTTGTGTGTGTGTGTGTGTGTAAATTTTGATGTGTACTTAAGGTATTGCCTATATATACATAGAGTTTATTGAAGATTGTTTTGTTCTATTTAATCCGCCAATTTACCGTCTGAAGTGTTTTTGTTCTTTATTTATTTCATTATTTTTTTATATTTAGTCCTTTATTTACTGGATCAATGACATCTTATCTTTCAAGTTATTGCATACATCGATGATATATACTATTGCGTTAAGACAATTTCACAATATTTTTTGATATATTATACAACATATTTGATCTATATATCTTTTTAAGATCCATGCCATGGATATGACTGATACCAACCCACCCACTCACACACACACACACACAAACACACACACACTCGATTAATTTTTTCCATTTTTTTTTTTAAATAATTTATTAGTCATCATTTATCAATTTTTTAAAATTAATGAGAAATTATTATTGTTAGAAAGATCAGAAAGGTAAACGCCATACGCTAACAAATTGTTAGATTTTATTGCATTGTTTTAATGCACAACTTGTTCTTTTATTTATTTATTTTGTTTGTTCATTTCTTTTATTTATTTTATTTACGTCGATAATATAATTAATTGTATTAATTAAGTATCCTTAAATCAACATAGTTTAGAGATCGATCATTAGTCAGCTAACATATGGTAATACTAACATTATATAATTATAGTATTAATATTATGTTAAATTATAATATATAATTTATTTAATTAATTAAGTATAATTAACTGAATTTGCAATTTGAATGAGTTTTTCAATAACGACATAATTATTCTCTACATTCGCCTGGTGTTTTTTTTTAAATTGGCTCTAAACGATTAGCTAAGCTGGTTAAGACGATTTTTATTAAATTTATATTTTTCATATTATCAAAATTGTATATTTAATTTGATGGATGAAATTGTTTCAAAATAGGATAATGTCAGGATATTTTTCAATTAAAATAAAGTAAGTTTTTAATGAAGTTTTTTATCGTTATGCGCATTTTCAATTGTTAATATTTTTATTTGTATTTTCTTGTGGTATTTAAATTTTAATTTTTAAACTGCTGAATAAATGTATGACAACATGACGTTTAAAGTTTTTTAATTATTTTTTAAATTTTTGATTTTATCTCTAGTTGAAGATATATATAGCATTTGTACATGCACTATTTCCGATTATGTTTTATGTTATTATATTTTTTGACGAAAAATATCAATAAAAGTTTCAAAATTCTTTAATCCTTTCATTTTTTTTGTTGCAAAAAAATTTTTAAGCGTTGGTGCAAATTTGACGCGGCTGACATCGTTCCAACGAGTACGTTTATGTTTATGCAATCATGATTAATTCAAATCAACCACGGTTAGGAAGAAATATTGGATTAACTGGCAACTGGCGAAATGAATTAATGTTCAATCTAGATTGAAAGTAAGCATTTGTTATTGCCTGCTAACATTTATTTTGGCAGGCAGAAATGATCTTCAGTCTAGGTCATTGAAATTAAATGTAATAAATAATTATGAACAAGCAGTGATTGTCCTAATTTTTTATGATTCATGCATCTGCTTTTTATTTTGTCTTCTTGCAGCCATGAAAGTGGGCGAGAGGAAGAACATATGGATACATCAGAATCCGGAATCTATATAAAAATATTTGTTATTGATACGACGATACACAAATTGACGTGGAGAAAACTCAAGAATTTCGTAAGCAAGCAATGCTGAACAGTTTTTTGAATTTGCTCGAGGGACGGTATTAGATCATGCCATTTAAAAAGTACGAAAGAAAGAAAAAAATTTACTGAACGCCAATGTTAGGAATATAATGAGTTGACTAATTTGATTTAATGATTAAAGAACTTATTTAATTTCTTTCTTTAACTTTCTATGAGATTTTCCAGTGCTTTTATGACTAATTTCGTCTCACAATGACTTATTCAAACAACGTTGTAGCAACATACGCGCTACGCAAATCTCACAATTCACAATACATGCTTTTTTTACTTTATTTTTTAATTTTTTCTACTCAATAGGTTAGTTTTTCACTTGGTTTGCCTTTGATGAGTTTATTGATCTGTTCAAATCGAAAGATTTTTTTTTATAATAATAAATGTTAGATGGTCTGGAATGAAGAAGAAAATTAAAAAGTTCATCACTGATGTTCGCTCGTCATACCACAGAGCCACTAAATCGTTGAACCAATCATTCAACAGGAAACATGAAGGTGAACCTAACGAGTTGGCTGTCCAAAGTTCAAAATCGTCATCACTGCCCGGATTATCATCCAAATTATCATCACCATCACCACGCCATCAAGATGTGAAAACTGAATTGAGATCGTTCAAGTCTTATCAATTCTTGAATGAGTTATCAGATTTGATTGACTCATTTCCAGGAGAGCAGCAAGCCATAGATGAAAATGAACTTGATGCAACAGCTGAAAAGTCATGTAGAAGTAGATGTAGTTCAAGCAACGTTACTCAACTATTTAATTCACAAAAAATAACTTGAAATCGTATCATTCGTACCATTATTTGACTTCATTGAATGAAGAAGAAACATTAGTCATTATCATCACTCGGCGATGAAAATGAGCAGTTGGATGCTGGTAAAAATGAAGACTTTCGAAAACAAGCTTTGCTGAATAGTTTTTGCATTTAATTGATGGTTGGATGGTTTTCAAGGAGACTACTTTAAAAGCATGACAGGAAAAATTCAATGGTTCCGGAAATTATTTTCTTGCACATTTGTACTAATTTCGTTTTAGAAGTTTCTATTAATTAAAACATATTTTTATGTAAAGATTGTGTCTATTTTAATATTTTGACAAAAAATGTAATATAATTGGGATATAAAAAACCATAAATAGAGAATTTAATTGAAATGCGCTCCGAAGTCGTCAAGTAAACGTTTTCATGTGCTTGCAAATATTTAAACTGATCGCCAAATCTTGAAAATGATAGCGACTTTATTATTTATCGTGAAATTTGGCAGTCTGTTAATAAACATTTTTTTATTTCGTTCAAAAGATGAATTAAATTTTTATGTTGAAAAATGAAGCAAATACATAATTTTTTTAATCTACAACACGCATGTCTTTTAAAAATAATAACTAGTCCGACAATCTTAATCTAGTTAATTTTAATCTACTAGCCAGATACTTTATTTTACTAAATTGTAAAGGTAATATCTGCTCTCATGAATTAGTTTTATTTAATTTACATGGTGTTGATAATGGTCTGATTCTCAATGATTTGAATAAGATGAAAATATGGAATGTTTTATTTGTAAGCTGGTACGTCATTTGTTCATATTGTTGAATGTTTGTAGTTAAATATCGGTTTTTCGATATGTTCCCTTACTGTGATTGTAATCATCTAATTGTTCCAGTAAACTTTTCCGGCACGGCGCAAACTCTTCCTTTTTCAAACACCAATAATCGCCGCCGCTAGCCTAGGCAGTTTTGCTTCTGGCAGGGAGACTCGCTTCTCCATAAAACACGAGCTGGGCGGATGAATTTTTGCGCCTTCTTGCCAGTCGGTTAATCTGGCCTTACTAACCACCGAAAAATCTTTTTCTGACCCATATGTCACGTTTTAGAGAAGTCAACAAAAACTAATAAAAACACGTTCATCTACAAAATAGTGACCATTTTCGAATGTTTTCAATTGAATTAGTAACTAAGACGACTTAGAACGTTTCAAACTAAATAATAAATAATTTTGAAAATTTGAAATAAATTAATCCATAAAATAATAATCAATTTATAACGATAACGGTACAACAACAGAACGACTCTCTAAAACAAACCACCAGGACAATAAAAACTAACGACCAACCTGGAACCCAGCAGAAAAACCACAAAAATGTATCTTTAAACCTTTTTTGATATTTAAACACATTTATATATACATATAAATATTTATTTATATAAACAGTATTCAAACATACAACCATACAAGATTTTATAAGAAACAGTTCAGTCTCAAATGTACATACTGACTAAACTTGTGTATATCACAACCAACTTGCCAGTATTCATACGATATCAAATCATGCTTAAACACATGACTTATTTGAACAAAATTCTAATAACATACGCGCTACGCAAATCTCACAATAAATGCTCTTTTTACTTTATTTAATAATTTTTCCTACTCAATAGGTTAGTTTTTTACTTGGTTTGCCTTTAATAAGTTTATTAATAAGTTAAAATTGAAAGATGATTATTTTAATAATAATAAAAGTTATTTTAGCATCATTAAAATCTACGCATAGAGTGTACCAATAAATTTTACAATCTAGGGCATAATAAAGTTCACCCCTGATTTTAAAACTTAAAACAAAGGCAATAAAATATACCTTTTACAAGCAGGCAGTTCGATTTTGAAATGCTTATTTACAAAGGTATGTTTACAGCGTATTGTAAATTAATAAAGAACATAGACATCATGTTTGGCCAAAATCATGGTATAAATAGGGATGACTGCATTAAACCTTTCAAAGTCTGTGAATGTTCAGTACTGTACACACATAATATTAGTTCAAGCAAATTTAATCAGTAAATAAATTGACATTTTGGTTTCGAGGAATATTAGAGCAAGAAATACTATTGATAGATCAAAAAACAAAATGTCTTGTGAAGATTCGTTAAATAAAAATATGAACATCAGCCAATTATCATCCTACTCCTCATCCTCCTCTTTATCGTTCACATCTATCTCATTTATAGGCACTGCTCAAAGATGGTCTTCAAATTTTTCCAAGAAGTTCAAGTTAAAGTTTTTGAAATCAAGTGGCTCTTCAAATTCTGAAGAGCCTGGAAACCAGACGGTTAAATCAAGTTTGCAGGAGCAGCCAGTTGACAATGGGAGATTTTCTAGAATGAAGAAAAAAATTAAAAAGTTCACCACTGAGATTCGCTCGTCCTACCACAGAGCCGCTAAATCGTTGAACCAATCATTCAACAAGAAACATGAAGGTGAACCCAACGAGTTGGCTGTCCAAAGTCCAAAACCGTCATCACCGCCCCGATTATTGAGATCGTACAAGTCTTATCATTGTTTGAATGAGTTATCAGATTTGATTGACTCATTTCCAGAAGAGCAGCAAGCCATGGACGAAAATGAACTTGACGCTGCAGTTCAAAAGTCATGCAGAAGTGGATGTAGTTCAAGTAACGTCTTTACTCCACAAAAGAATAACTTAAAATCTTACCATTCGTATCATTGTTTGACTTCCTTGAATGGAGAAGAATCATTAGATTTAAGTAAGTCATTGTCATCACTCAGCGATGAAGATGAGCAGTTGGATGCATCAGATCCGGAAATTGATATGAAGATATTTCTTATTGATGTGACGGTTCTCAAATTGAGAGCGTTGGATGCAGCTAAAAATGAAAATTTTCGAAAACAAGCTATGCTGAATAGTTTTTTGCATTTGCTTGATGGTTGGATGATTTTCAAGGAGGCTGCTTAAAAAGCATGACAGAAAAAATTTAATGAGTGCCACTATTCAGGAGATTATCGTCTTGCACATTTGTACTAATTTCGTTTCAGAAGTTTCTATTAATTAAAAACATTGTAATTTTTATGAAAAGATTGTGTCTACTTTAATATTTTGACAAAATTGTAATATAATTGTGATATAAATAATCATAAATATAGAATTTAATTGAAATGCGCTCCGAAGTCGTCATTGCAAAGTAGCCTGCATTGCAAACAATAACACATTCATATTAATACGACAACAGATAAGCGTTACCAATTCAAGTTTCTATCGAATCATAAATAAGCCAAAACCTGGCGAATCTTCATATCATGTTTTCATCATTTTTTTCTTTTTGGCGACAGCATAAAAGAAAATGACGGAAATCAATTCGAAAATTTCAACAACGGTCAGAAAAGTAGATCCAAGAAGAACTCCCAGAGCCCCTCCCAGATCACTCAACAGCGCCATTTCCGAGTAAGATTTGACTGTTGATACTTTTGTATACTGCATTCTACTAAGGTAAACTCGCAAAACAACCGTGTCAGTCTTGGTAAATTTAATGAACTTCTCGTCGAAAAATTTCCTGATCACGTGTAGGTTAGTGTTAGAGAGTTCTGACCTGGTGACTGATGTTTGGAAGGTCATTTCGTTGCACATTGGAGGACACACGCATGTACGGAAATTGCCAATGAAAAAATTACTCATTACTTTATCGGTACACAAAAATTCTTCGTCGTAATTACATATTGATTCGTTACCAATTTCTGAAATTTAAAATTTACAGTGGTTTAAATTGAAATTTGAAAAGATGTGTTTTTTTTGTTGACACCTTCCATGTAGATGGGTCTGCAACTGCAGTTTTTGATCATTACCTCTGTCAGACATCTCATACTGCATTTGATTTGATGGTAGCCTTTCTGGTCCGTACAACTTCCGTACGGATGCTTCAATCTGGTTGTCTGTCACGTATTACAATTTTAACAGAATTTTTATGAAATGCTAGAAGCGTAAAAAATAAATTTAATGTTTAGTAGTGCTTTAATAAATTTTGACTTTTATTTACCAACTTTTGTAACCGACACAGCCACGTTGACTTCTTCGTCAACATTGACTTTGAAACCCAGCTCCAACATCCTCGGCGGTTCTTCGGGATCATGTACCAAAACCTGTATGAAAACAAATTTTCAAAAAAGTAGATACATATTTAAGATTACGTTAGACAACCCTTAAGATTACGTTAGACATCCCTTACGTTAGACATTTTGACAACTTTATTTGACATTTATTTAGATCTTAAATGAAAATCTTTACATTGAATCCCTGGGAAAAATCTCTTTTCATCAAGTAGTCAGATTGGTTGGCGTACAAGAAAAGTACCAAACCCGTAGTGGCACCAGGAGCATTCAAAAGTTGTAACTTTGATTTTCCTGGTAAGAGATTTCAAAAAAAATTTGAAAATGTTTTGTACAAAAGTAAATATAAATATATTACACTCTTCAACAGCTTATGCAAGCAAACGTTTTGAAAAATATTTGCCCTGTCGGATATTTGCCCTGTCGGATCGCAAATCCTAACGATCCTCAAAAATAAATGAAAAGTAACAAAGTGATTCGAGTGCTATATAACACAAAACAGCTATATGATTCCGATAGGTATTCGGGCTGCTGATGAGTCTCCGGTAGTGACGAAACACGTCCAGCCTGTCCAAACAAATACTATTCTTTTCCACTTTTCACTCCTACCCACTGCTCTTCCTGGTTCGGTGTCCTCTTACATTAGCGCAACCGCCCATAGAATTTCATTTATTGCTAAAACACTTATAGTGCTCCATTTATAATTTTTGATTAATGAAGCCAGTTGAACGAATAGCAGGATCGTGGCCTTTCAAGCTGCCATCCTGTAAATTAGCTGATCGGTCGTCAAGTTCGAATGTGAACAAGATTTAAATAATTTAAAAACCAAACTTGGACGCGAAAAAAATTTCAACTTTGGTATGAACCAACATAGAAATTTTAAAATGTTAACTTGTCGCCAATGTGACTGATTCATATTTTCATACTTGGGTTAACAACTATACATTGTCCTGCGTTTGAGAACGTGGTACCGAGAGTTTCTTTTGAACATGGCACTCCATTCCAGAAGCACTAAATGTTTATTGTTTAAGTGTTAAAATTAAACGTTAAAAGTTATTTTTTATTAAAAATTAAGAAACAATGCAGATAATAGAACAATTTCAGAAACATTAAGGAATGAAGCAATGAAATTCTTAGCACTAAAAATATTAATCAAAACCAATAAGAATAAAAACGAAACGATGGAGAAACAAGCAAAAGAAATTTTATTTCAGAGAAATTAATTTAGTTGTTGCAAGAGTTTCAACATTTCACAAATGTATTAGTATTATGCGCTTCAAAGCAGTAAAAGTTTAGATAAACAGTTACAACTCCTACACATGTAAAACTGAGAGGAAAAAGTAAATCCCAAAAGTAGCCAAAAGTGTGTACAAACTTTTATGTCAAAAATTGTTTATTGTATTAACAACTGCTCAAATTTCTTAAAAGAGAAACCAAGTTTTAGAATTTAAAAATTTTGTTTGAGATACGATAAATGTCAGAAAAATATTTAGCGCAAAATTTGGCGAAAAAAATAGAAAATTAATTGGTTTTAGATTTCTAGCTACCACAAGCAAAAAAGTATGTTATCTAGATTCGCGTCACGATTGATGACAATGATAACAAAAGTTACTTCACGTGTAACACATTTTTACTAACCTTTACTAATTGTTCAAGTCCTGGAGATGAAATTTTTCTTGATTTTATGACCTCTGTATTGTCGAAAAAATTTAGATGGTAATATTTGTTGAGAGATATTCTTTCTGTCAGTCTATTTAAAAGAAGATTATTCAATTCCTGAAAATATTTCACCAGACCTGTAAACAGATTCTATGATATATCTTTGAAAATTTAAAGATAGCAATGACACTAACCCTGACTTTCAGCCGATGACTTCTTAACGTAATTGCCGTTGCATATTGTGACCTGAGGAAGTGTGATGTGAGCTGATACAATATCATAATCTGTTAATGTGGGGTATGTCAGATAGTGCATCAGACGATCATTTATTTGATAAACTGCCAACAGAAAGCCAAACATTATAAAGATGAACCACATGAAACGATTTAACACAGAGCGATTGCTGTCCGCACAATGTTTCACTCTTTATTGAAGATGAAATGAACTTAAATTAGTGAAAAATTTAAAATATTTTTTGCTTTTTCATAAGTTTGAAATTTATTTGATATTATTTGACTCGGCAAAATAAAATATGACGCAGAATATAAAACACTGAAAATATCAGACAAAATTGGGAAAACTGTTAAAAATCACGTCAAGATAAAATGCTCGTACCCAATCACTGAAACTTCATCGACAAAGTTCCAGAGATCGCTGGCCAGAAAATAAAGATCTTCATCTTCATCTTTTAAATTGATATGCCTCAATGATTTGTTCACCTTTGACTGGTCCATCTGGATTAATTTACGTCTCAAACAACAATTTGGTTGATTATCCACCATCAATTTTCCACCAAACTTTTTAATTTTTTCCCCAACGTAAGTTGCAACATTTCCATCATCTTTATCATCCAAGTTTCCGCTATTATGGTTATTATTGTTTATATTATTATGACCTTTGTTGTGAGGACCGTCATTAAGATTTTCAACTATTGAGTTTTTGCATTTGCTGTTATTTTTATTTTTACCGATGCGAAGATCCTTTTCCATTTTTGCTTCCATCTCCATGTTATTAAAACCGCCGTTATTATCGCTACTATTTATAGCTCCATTAACGCTTTCATCTACGTCGCCATCAGCCTGACCGCCATGATTGCTGCCGCATTTTTTACCATCAGTAATTTTTATAACTGCACATGTGCGTCCAACATCTGACGAATACGTAAATGCTTTGTTAACATTCCAACCTCTGCTTTGACTAGCCTCTATGCTTACTTTGTTTGAAATTTTGTTCATTTTTTTCAGCAATTTGTGCTATCTTCTGATGAATAATAATTTTATTGTTATAAGTTTGATATAACTTTTAAGTTTCAGAGTTTATTAAGTTATAATTTTACAATAACCATGTGAGAAATTTGGAATCAGTCATGGACACATACTACATGAAAACGAGTGAATGTTTTATAGCATTATCGTACGTTGAAAGCAAACAGGGTCATGATGTTTGCTCAGCTGAGTACACCTGAATGACTATTTTAATGCACACTGCTTCGTGCTAACAGGACTAATGGAATAGAGGGTGGTCGATAGTTTTTGCATTGTTGTTAATAATAGGCTTTCTAATTAGGCGTCCAAATTTCTCTTGTGGTAATCTCAGTTTAATAATACATTTAAAATTGTGTTACAATTATCAATGAAAGTTTCCAATCTTTGGAAACTTTTATGGTGGTTAGCATAATTAAAAATATTCAGAGTTTAGTCGATATTTTTGTGAAAATATTTATTAACCTCTTTCGATTGTTTAAAAATTAGGAACGTGAACTATTCACATTATTCAACTTAAAAATGATGCGCTACAACCTCCAGTAAGTAAACAATGACGGGGCAGCACGAACACACGCTGGCTCAACCACAATAAATTAAACACAAATACTGGTATGAGTAGGATCAACTCCCATTTTTGTTGTTGAAATATATAATTAATTTTTTTGTTTTTTTGGCAACACCACCACCACTAACGCACCGCAAACAACACAGCAGTGTCATTAGTGGAAGAGTAATGTCAAAGATATAAATGAATAATTTTTATTCGTAATTCAAAAGTCAATAAAAGCATGATGCTAAAATTCTTACAAAATTTGTTTCTCACATTAACGCCGCCGCAACTGAAAAACAACAATAATAATAACAAATATGGCTAAAATTTGTACAACCCATTAAACGAAACTGTTTTCAAGTACTTTTCATAAATAGAAGCATATTATTTTCTAGTTGGTTTAGTTTTTTAGGTAGATCCATTCAAAATGTGCAAAATTTGCAGAGGGAAAAATATCCGACTCTTACCTACAGGTGGACCCTCAAAAAATTCCGATTTCCATGAAGTTGAGTCTCGCGCTAAGCCCTCTCACGTTAAGTCTGACCATGTTCTTTTTATAAATTTACCCAAAATTTTTCAATTTCTTGAGAATTATAAAATGTTATTTTAGCACTCTCTGTGGAGCAGGACAAACAAGGAAATAATTGTTGGTGGTGATAAACTATGAAATATCGGTAAGTGCACTTTATAGTTTAAAATTGGGAATCTGTACACATTCTAAATCAGGGAATCTGTACATTCTAAGTCAGTAATGCCATTTCTACCTGGCTACTCATCATCGTCGTCGTCAGCACTCAGTGCATTGGTTAACAACAATGCTACCAAAATACATTTCAATAAAGTGAGCTGCATTTATGAAACAATATAATCACGAAATTTTTTATTTTCTTTGCATGCTAGGAAAATCGATGCAAGAATTTAAAAACAAAGTTTTAACAAAGGTGAAAAAATGATTTTTTTCAATAAATCTTTTCTGCAAACGGTTTTCTCGTAAAATACTTTTTGTTGAAAATTATTAATTATTATTTAGACGTGTTTAAACATGAATTTTTTCGAAAATATGTTTTATTTTCGATAATAAAATGGGATTTTATGTTGACAAAATTGGCCAATCAGGGAATTTTTTAAATTTTAGTTTTATTTTCCATCTGCTGCTATTAACTTTCCAAATCGAGTAAAGCTAATTTTGTCTGCTAACCTTGATACTTCTAAATATTTTTTACACGGAAATAGCAAAAGCGTAAAATAATAAAGAAGTTGCAAAAAGATATAATAAGCGCAAAAATAATACTCCAAATAACACAATGTTCATATTTTCAAAAACCAGTCTTGTAACGATAAGTTTGTTGGTTGAGGTTGCTCTTTCAGCTTTTTGGCCATCGATGGGTAGAATATACAGCAGGTTAACATGGAACAACATGCAACTATGTTTTAATTCGAACAATAAAATCTCGGTTTTCAGCGAAATTCTTTCAAATATTCAATTTAATGACGAAGCGAAATATGTGAAGATGTGTGGTATCAAATGTGAAGAATCAAAAAAATCATGTACAGCATTTCAGGTTGATCTGATAAAAGATGCAGTTTGTTATCATTTCAACTATCTGCCTGACCTAATCTTTAAGAAATCCAATCCGAACTGTTCAGTATATGCGGTTTCAACCCTTTCAAGTGAGTTTTGAGACATTACGTATCAAAAAAACATATTAACATGTATCGTTAATTTTATTTTAGAGTTCGTTTTTCTTAATGTTTCTTCATGGGGTTTTACTGATTTGCAATGTCTACCGGAATGCCATTGTCCTGTGAACAGTACAAGAGCGCTGATCTTGTACAAATTAGAATTACTGAACAACACTGCGCATGATGTCCAGCAGTTTGACACTTACGCTGATACAAAAGAGGCTATAAGAATGACAAATTATTTAATGGTGAGAATTGAATTCTGTTTTAATGTTAACCCTTTATAATTAATAGTCGTCACTTATTTAAAATAATTTGACGATTTCAATCGTAACAACCACTCAAACGCAACCAGAACACTGCGAACGGAACCATAGTTGTGGGGAGATCATGCGACGAGATAAGCACTAGAATGGCTCCGGCACTACCTTACTTGGCCAGCGTGAATTTGAACTTAACTAATTTGCAGTACAGAGGCAAGTGGCTGTTCGTCTGGCAGCAAGGGGCCTACGGTAAAGCCCTCTCTTTTGTGGACAATACGAACGTTATTCTTTCCAAGCAGTTTGTCATTTACTACACTTTAAGTATGTGCTTTTATGTTATCTGTTGAACACGAATTAGATTTTAAATCTAGTAAGCAAAATATTTTGTCACCGATAATTTTATTTCAATTGATTTGGAGCCACCCAGCCAACTAAGGCTTCCAACTACTCAAGCCCAACCTTAACTTAACACTTATGCTTGCAAAAACTGATAAAGGAGTTGCTTAAAAAACATTTCCATTACACACAGCTACTGACAACAGATTGCCCTGGACAGGAGTTGAAATAAGAACGATAAAGTGAAAGACATCACCCGAAGGTATAATATATAAATATATATACATACACAATTATAAAATCAACAAAAACACACGCAAATAAACACACATACACACACATACACGCAATTACATACACACAAACATGCACGTACACGCAATTACATACACACAAACATATAGTGTGTGTGGTGTCACACTTGAATATGAATTGTAATGTGACGTTTTTTAAATCGATTCGTTTTTCTTTTTAAATCTATTTAAGCTAATTAGAATTACTTTCATCGTGTGTCAGTTTTTAACGCACTAGAAGAGTAAGTTTCCATTCACATAGCTTTATTTAATTCTCTTATAAATTGTTTAACATATTTTTACTCTTCTTTATATTCAATGTAATTCATTACATTATTTATGTAATACTAACAATATTTTGTCGGGAACTTTATTTAATAATAATAGTTATATTTTTTGCAAGCTTTTCGTTCTGTGAACATGATTTCTGTAGTTTGTACCATTCATTAAATAAATCTTTTTTCTGATGAATTATTTAAAATTTTAATTTCACATCATTTAGCGGAGAAACAATTATATCAATAAGGAAACTTTATCTCGTTTCTTCATTATTGTTTTTGTTATATATATATATATATATATATATATATATATATATTATAGAATATTGTAAAAATTATGGTCTATTAGCAACATATATATTTATATATATATGTTGTTATCAAATATCTTACATACCTTATAAATAATACACTGAAGATGAGTTATCTATAACTCAAAATAGCTATTTGCAAATTTATTTAATAAAAATTAAAAAAAAACAATAAAATGTCTAATTTCTCTGACATTAATAAAATAAAAAGAAATATAAAAAAAGTTGAACAATGTTGAAAGTAGTGTTGAATTTTTGAAATGTTGCGTTATATATATATGTATATATATATAGAGAGAGAGAGATAGAGATAGAGAGAGAGAGAGAATTTGTATAACCCAGTCCTTGTTGCAGTTTATATAGAGAATTTGTGTGATTTGTAATTATTGTTATTATTATACAAATTCTCTCTCTCTTTCTTTCTCTTTCTTATATATACACTGAGTGAGGATTATGAAATATATTGTTGTAACTCCTTGACCCCGTAACTACCAACCCCGATGTTATAGCTTTACTAATCTTTATATCTCCAACACCGTATTGTAGCTTCTAACGATAGTCAAGAGTTCGAATCCGTAGGTTCAAGATTTCCGATAGATGAACACAACTACTTCAAACGCAAACTAAGTTGAACGTTTATTTGAATACAAGCAGTAATAGAAACAATAAATTAATCCAAATAACTACATAAATCACATTTACTACTTGCATTGAATCCCACTTCTACGTCAAATGTGTTCTTCTTCCCTCTTATTTCTGTGACTTCTTCTCTTCATATAGCTACCGATGTGCTTGTTAAATGTGCCAAATAAAAATATGTAACGTCAATAAATGAATTTACAACCTTTTGATTAATTTACATCCCTCTAATTAATTTACAAGCAATTCAATCCTCAATGCATGTTTAACGATTTCTAACTATTTGCATTTATCTCAACCTCACGTTTTGTAACAATATTTCCGAAATGTGAAGCAGCGTTTAGCAACAGTAACTTGATTCATGATTACGTTTATGACTTTCTCAAATATTCAAATAACAAGCTTAACAAATTTATTTCGTACCGACTCGATTAGATTCGCGAATTGAATTAAATAAAATTCGAAGTTTGTAAAAATGACGGGTCTGTGGAGAGGTGTGAGATTATTTTAAACAGATTACTTTATGAAACTTATGATTGGATTACGAAAGACTTGCCCAAGAATCCTTCCTGCTCAGATAAACTGATTATTTAAATGTTTGACAAATTTACATCCAGTCTCTTAGATATTTCAAATCTAATAGGAGCTAAGTTAATGAAGGAGGTAGCAATCCTGTTAAGAAACTTTCTTTCTTATTTCCAACAGGTTGAACGAACATAATTATTAATCTTTCCCAAGATGAATTCAATTGGTTGAAATGTTTCAAATACATGTTCAGCTAATGTCAACTTCATTCACGTCAGAGAAAGACAACGCCCAACAGGTTATTGAAAAACTACAGAACTATAGCAACGTTATATTGAGAATCAAATAAACATTTATGACCATCAAATCCATGATATAATTATAATTACACTTTTTAATTGAATAAACATTTTTTCCATTTGTTACTAACCTTAAAATTTAATGTTAGGTATCTATGACATTTTAACAGTCGATAATATTATTGCTCTACGTTTTACTAGAACCTATAAAAAATTAATCGCGTTATAATAATATAAGCCGAGCAAATAATTTTTTTATATTATGGCTGATATATATATATATAAGCTCTATAGCTATTTTATATAATGCAAGCCTTACAAATCATTAAGACTTAATCACACAATTATAACAAATGAAATGTAAATTGATTGAAAACACTACAGCATGACCAATTGACGAATTGACCACTGGCTAAACATTGAGTAGTGGACTAAGTGAATGATGCAACCCTCACCACAACCTTTAAGAATGAATGTTTTATTGATTGAAACAAAAATTGCACATGAATACGTGCTAATTTAAAGGACGAATCACACATAATGAATGTGGTAGTCTGGGTTTCGTTTGCCATATTCGAACCAGGACACTGCGTAACAGAACTAGGCGACCTTAACCACAAAACCATCGCATCGCCCGCATAATTAACACAATAATTTAATATTGTTGCTAATTTATTATTATTTATATTATTGTGCTTCTCGTCAAAAAATTATTTTTCAAGTAAAAAACTTCAATTAAATATGGTTAAACAATTTTAGAGAAAAAAGATAATTACGGATATTGAACAAAAAATTAAAACAATTATTAATTTTATTATAATAATATTAAAAAGGATTTTAATAATTTAATATTTATTAACATTTTGTTTAACTATAAACACGTCTGCAGAGGAAAGCGATTGATACGATTATGGCTATTTATGACTTACGTATATATGATAATTATGTATACTTATAAATGTATGTGTGTGTGTGTGTGTGTGTGTGTGGTGTGTGTGTGTGTGTGTACGTGCTTATGTGTTCGCTTATTTATTCATGATAGCTTGTATGTTGTTTTTTTCAATCCATGATCAATATATTTAAAATTACGCCATCAGCAAAGAATTATTATTTTTGTAATTTATTCGATTAGACAATAAAGATTTTTATTTGTATGTGTTTTTTCTGTGTTTGTACGTCTGTGTGTGTTTGTGTATGTGTGGTGTGTGTGTGTTTCATGTACTTTGCTTATGAGCTGAACGTCTACTCTGACTCATGCAACTCGTGCGATGCAAGTGTGAACGATTCATTGTGCATACAAACCCATTCATACATACGTACGTACATACATACATACAAACAAACAAACATACATACATATATACGTACGAACATGTGCACGTTTATGCAGTTGTCTTAATTTGTAGGCATCTTCATTTATTTCTTAGCTAAATGAATGAAACGTTTGACATCCAAACAAGCGACAGAGACTGAAATGAGAAAGGAGGATACAAAAAGGAGCAAAGATTGTTTTACAAAATATTAATTAATTAATTTCAAGCCTTTCGATATAATTGTGACGATGATGATGATGGTGACGATAATGATGATGATGATGGTGACGATGATGATGATGGTGACGATAATGATGATGATGATGGTGACGATGATGCGGTGACGTCGGCGATGGTGTGATGACGTCGACAACGATGATGATGATGACAAACATTTGACGGATAGAACACCTCAGTTGATGAGATGATGTTCATGCCAACAAACCCGTCAGCGCAGGGAACTTCCGTTGGGAGGTTTAAATTCACTTTCCTTTTCCTCGGCAATTATCGACTTCATCTGGCTGCTCTTTTCGGAATTTTTAGAAAATCCAGCATTTCCGTCTCCGCTCACTGCTCTTCCATCATTTCCATCTTTCCTCTCACCATCATCAGCATCTTCGCTGTTTTTACTTGTATTCACGGAATCCCCACGACCCTCATCGTTATCATCATCTCTCAGAGCTGGCAGCGGTGAGATCGACGGACTGGGAAGTGAAGTGTTGTAGTCAGACAAAGAAGAGATGGATGGAGGAGGTGGAGAAATAACAGGAGCGGATGACGTCATGTGTGTAGCATCATCGACATCGTGGCTGTTTTCTTCATCCGTGTTGGGAAGAGTTTCCGGTTGTGACCCGTTGTTGCTGTCGTTGTGGCTGTCGTTGTGACTTGATTCATTCCACGTGGGAGTTGTTGGCACGTCGGGAATGTCTGCAAAGAGTGGATTCCTCACTTCTATGTCTTCACCGCTATCCTGGTAGGAGCAAGTTTGGGGCGATACAAAAATGTCCATTTCAGTGAAGAGTGGATTGAATGATTTTTACAATTTTTCATCGAATAAATAGTAATAATCGTGAAAATAAGATAATAACAATCACAAAATTTAATTTATTGTTGGTAATAGTTAGGAAAAACTTTTTCTGTACAATTTGTCTGCGAAGCTTGGAAGTAAGTTAAATAATTTGTAAAGTCATCATAACTTACAAGAGCCAAACCGGGGCAAGAAACGATGTTCACGTGACCATCCTTGATATCGGTTTCTGAGCATGAGTCGGAATCCACACTGCGTCGTGTTGTGTTCTCCCTAGTCAAGTGTGCGTGCGTGAAATAGAGAGAAAAAATTTGTATGTGTGTACATGTGTGCGTGTTTATCTAAATTTGTATGAATTATGTGTGTGTGTGTGTGGTGTGTGTGTGTGTGTGTAAATGCAGCATACAAATATGTGTCTATATCTGAATTTGCATAGCGTTCCTCTTGGAAAGACTTCAGGAGCGCTTTCTTCAATGTTTATTCGTGGAAGACTTGTTTTCTGTTGTTATCTAGCACAGTTTGGACATCAATTAGTTAGTTTAAATTTGCCAACTTAACAGACAATGAAATTCTACCAAACTTCCTTTTTGGAAAAAGTTTATTTACATACATGAGATTATGTGAGAACGAACGTGAACGAAACTCAATGAAGAATCAATAAATGATCGAACGAAAAAAATGCAAAAATATATAACTCATCATCAATAAAAATATACAAATTAAAGAGAAAAAAACCGACTTATCCTTGGCCAGAATTTGTTGTTTCTGAAACTGATAGAAGAACATCTGAGCACTCTGAGCCATCTTTCTGTCCATGAGGACCGGGACGTAGGTTGTGGAACCATCCTTTCCTCCCACTGATCCGTACGGACCATTCACTGGAAAGATGCCAGGATCATTCCTTGGCCTATCCCAGTAACATCTAAGGTTTGAAATGATTACGACGACGATGATGATGATGACTAAAATGATGTTGATGATGGCAGGTGCAGTATCTATCACTAATAACACCAATACTGGCTAAAAGATTGATGTAATGTTTAATAAAATGTTCAGCAAAATGGTATTCATGATGATTTCCATGTGATTATTATTAGTGAACTGCGTTTCATACACAAAGTGTATATATACTTTTAGTGTTTTTTTTTGTTAGTTGGTTTAATAAAATATTTTATTTGTGTCAATTATTTTATTACTTGTGATTTTGATAACTTTTAAATATTTTCGCAATTATAATTTCATAATTTAATGCATTCACGCAGATAATAAAAAATATTTTTAAATTGGAGAGATAGAGAGAGAGAGAGACAGCAAAAAAGAGAGAGAGAGAAAGAGAGAGAGAGAGTCAAATCGATGTTTAACTGAAGACTAACAACAAGCAACAATCAATTAAGATTCATCTTAGAAATTTTTATAGAAATCGTCATTAAACGTTATAAAATGATTCATCAATGGACTCATTAAGGAAATAAAATAGCAAAAAGCAATCATGGATATTGAAAAACAATTTCAAAATCTGCGTGAGGGAGGTATTGATGAGAATTTGTAGGTGGGTGATGAGAAGAGGTCATGATGGCGAAAACGATGATGAAAGTTAAGATGAAAAGAAATGATAAGTATGATTATAAACATCAATTTTAAAAGCAGACCAGCTAACAATCATTAGAAAATAAACAATATATATAAATTTGTTAATAAATAATAATCCATTAATGAACATACAATCTTGTCAATGTCACGCCACTTCAGCCATAAATTGACACATGTCAAATAGTGAATACCAACGATCGTACATTCTCATCCCAGTTTTTAACTTGTTTCTTAATTTTCATTTTCAAATTACCATTTTTCATTTCCCAAACTAATCTATCTACAAGTGTCTAAACCACATTGAGCAAGCAGTTGGTTTGGTAGTAAAGAGGGTCTCTCTCTCTCTCTCTCTCCATATTTTCACTATCTCACCATCTAAACAAGAACACCTGTTTCCAGCTAGTAGAAAAATGTCTGCCCTCAACAATATTTCACAATCTCTCTTTTTAAATTTCTTATTTACTCACTCACTCAATCAATCAATAACACATTCATTCAATCACCCACTCATTCACTCATTTACTCTTTATTACTCACTCACTCACTCACTCACTCACTCACCCACTCACTCACTCACTCACTCACTCACTCACTCACTCACTCACTCACTCACTCACTCAATCAATCAATCAATCACTCACCTGATAACGCAGATGATGATAATGGCGAAGATGATGATCGTTAGTATAGACACGCAGGCAGCTGCAACTGTTTAATGTATACATCATCATCATCTTCATCATCATCATCATCATCGCCATTATCGCGATTAATAATTTTATAATAATAAAATTAATAATTATTAATGTTCTTATTTTTTATTATTATTGTTTTAATAAAAATACAGACAGCTATAATGAAAGTAAACACTATTGCAATTGTGAAAATTATTATTAATAATTAATAACAACAATAATAATAGTGGTAGTAGTATTAGTAATAGTTGTTATTGTAGTGATAGTAGCAGTAGTAAAAGTGGTAGTACTAGTAGTAGCAGCAGTAGCAGCATTAGTAGCAGCAGGAAAAGAAGATATCACAGCAGCAGCAGCAGCAGCAGTAGGGTCATTAGCAGTATCAGTAGTAATGGTAGTATCTTCATGACATATTCTAGTAATAAATATAATTTTCGTCATGAACTCCTTTGTAGGACACATCGCCATCACTGTTTTTCACGTCATCATGATAAATTTTTTATATCCATTTTGGCAGTTTATCCACACACTCTTTCATGCATTTAATTTTTTTCATTCATTCATTCATTCGTTTATTCGTTCGTTCGTTCGTTCATTCATTTTTCATTCATTCATTCATTCGTTTATTCGTTCGTTAGTTCGTTCATTCATTTTTCATTCATTCATTCGTTCATTCGTTCGTTCGTTCGTTCATTCATTCATTCGTTCGTTCATTCATTCATTCGTTCGTTCGTTCGCTCGTTCGTTCATTCATTCATTCATTCATTCATTTATTCATCCATCCATTCATTCATTCATTCATTCATTCATTCATTCATTCATTCATTCATTCATTCATTCATTCATTCATTCATTCATTCATTTATTCATCCATCCATTCATTCATTCATTCATTCATTCATTCATTCATTCATTCATTCATTCATTCATTCATTCATTCATTCATTTATTTATTCATCTATTTTCCATTCATCTATTACCTGCAAGAAACATTCCAGACAGTATGAACGGCTTCTCCTCTTCTTGTAAACCATCATCAGTCTGAGTCGAGTTGGAAACCATGGCTGCAAATTGTGACACCAGTTACAAAACCATCAACTAAAAACCATTACATCAATAAAATCAGACGCAAGCATAACAACAAAAACAATTACCATCACATCAAATAAACATTCCCCATTACAACAACAACAGCAGTAATAACATAACAACCAGCAATTCACCTACCGGGTTTACTTTTAACGTCCCCACCACCAACAGAAGCTACCACCACAGAACCCTGACTGACCACCTGACCTTCGGGAGTCAAGGTCACCACACCTTGACCTTTAACCACCTCAAACATAGTTAACAGCGTTACCATTCTAAATAAGAAAACACACAAGACGGAGAGACAACATTTATTTGGGACGAGACAGCGGGGTACGTACGGACACCATTCTAACATTTGGTAGCAGGAACTGCCATTTCGGCATTAGTTGCGTGTGGGAGTGTGTGGTTGAATTTTACGTTTTTATAAAATTTTTGTCAAATTATATTTGTTTTATATTACATTTTTCTGAAAAAATTATTTATTTACTGCGTATTTGTAGTTTAATTTTTAATATGCAATAATTTATTTGTAATTGGCGGTTTGTCCTTTCGTGTTTGCTGTTGCGGTAGAAATTAATAACAGCAAGTAAATTAAAGAAATGTTAAATGAAGAAGTCAAAGTTATATAAACAGAAATAGGATTTTCACTAACAATTTTATAACAAAAATAACGCCAGTAGCACAGAGTGACGTAGCACTAACAACAAAAAAAAATTATCAATACTAACTACTCTCAGCAGTATCACATGAAATATGACAAACTCATCATTGTATCAATGAAGATTGTAATAATAAGTATTTATAGTAAATGATAATAAGGTGATACAATTTAGTTTATTAATATAAACGATAAAGTAATAATAATAATAGTAGTAGTAGTAGTTTTTGTAGTAGTAGTAGCAGCAGCAGTTGTAGTAGCAGTAGTTGTAGTTCTTTCTGTAGAAGTAGTAGTAGTAATAGTTGTAGTAGTAGTAGAAGTAGTAGTATTAGAAGTAGAAGTAGCAGCAGCAGAAATATTTGACGTTATTATTATTGATGATGTTAAAAAAATGAGTTGACGATTAAGTTGATGTCGTAATATGTAAACAACAATGCTAATGTATTTCAGTTATTGCATTGCAATTGAAAGTAATATACTTATGTTGTTGTACGTTGTTGTTGTTGATGACAATGATTTTGCTGATGCAATTGAAGGTAACGTATTTATGTTGTTGTTGTTTGTGTTTTTGTTGATGATGTTGGGCTGATGTATGCAATGTTATTGTTGCTAATTTTGTTGGCAGAGATGGCAGAGAGGACAGTATTTAGAAAGCTATTTTTCTCTGAATTAAATTTATATTGTCAATGTGTTGTTAGTGTTTCCACTGTTGTTGTTGTTGGTGGTGGTTGTTGTTGTTAATGTTTCCACAATTGCTCTGTTTCTATTGTTGATGTTGACGTTGTTGTTGTTGTTGTT